ACGATTTGATGAGCCTCACTGATGATACTAATCCAATTTTCGTTGAAAATATTACGACGGTCTTTGATCAAGTAAGTGATTTATTACTTGTAATATTTGACGAACTTTTGAAAAGAAATCCCTTTCAATTAATATACATAATATGGATAATTTACTGTTCTAGTAACTATAAATAAACTCAGTTTTGTATCGCGCATTCCGGGCATATAACGATTACATTTAAACCTTCAGTTGTTTAAGCTATCGCGGAATATACTCAAAAGGAATATTAAGAATATCCATAGCGCTAAATAACCTGTATCATGAACACGCCCCACATACACACTCTCACGTACATACCATCACACAACACAGGCGAATTAGGTATTACTTAGTTAAATGTATTTAACAATTTTTATTGATTTTGTTCCTTTTGTAAACGTTTGAATATTTTCCATTGTATATTTTTTGTAATTGTTTTTAGTTTTTTATAATTTATGTTAGCCGTCAATCATATAAAAAGATAACAATACGGTTACTTTGTCGTAATATTTGTAAGTGATAATATTAATTTATTGAATAACTATTACTAAGACCTTTACGTCTTTCAGGTAGACAATCTCCTAGAAGATTCAGATGACTTGACTATCCCAAGCCAATTGTTGCATATGTTGGACAGACTCGGTTCCACGATACAATTAAATGGGTCCCACGTGGCAACTGCCGTGAGAAGCAATATTGCTTTGGTGATGGCTGATGCTACACCCAATAACCCGGTTAGAGGAATCCGAATAGCAGCCATGAGTGATGACGTGTTTGTGAATGATGCCTTTCAAGTCATAAGTGGTGAGTGTTGACTGTCATAAAACATTTATTTATTACAGAAATACATACATAATCCTTACAGACTATGCCAATACGATAATGTCGAGAAAAATAACATAAAATATATAATATTAAACACATAATATACACAATATCGCTACTCTGAATTCACTGTGCGAACATATAAATATGTCGATAGTGTTGGAGACAGCATTCAGTAAGCGCAACGTCTTTGATAACGGAGGTCTGTGCAACAGACTGGTTCTGGCCCTTGGTATCGCAAATAACCTAGGCTGTCGCACATATTCTATAGGTACTAAGAAACTCAGTTGTCCTCTAGGAACTGCTTCGTTTGAACGACTCTCAACCACGATTTCTTTTTATGTATGTTAATAACTCTATAGCACACAAAAGAAAGGTCTTCAATCAGTCTTCTGTCTTTACTTATGGAGCCGAAACCGTAACGCTCACACAAAGCACGAGGTAATGCCTGAGAGTCGCGCAGTGGGAGATGGAGCGTGCAATGCATCTCTCTTCGCCATTGATGACGACATTCGTGAAAAGACGTTAGCGACGTAGTAGACATAGGCTGTCGTATCATCTAAGTGGCAGTAGGCACACAGCACGCGTGGACAATAACTGTCGGTCCCGTAGGCTCCTTGAATAGAGATCGGCAGAACAAAAGACCACGTGGCTGCCCACCGACTAGGTGAACTGACGACATTGTCAGGGAGGTTGGCTCCCAGTGCAGGGCGTACTGGAGAAAAATAGAGGAGGCCTATGTCCAGAAATGGACCAAATGTTGGCGGCAAACATCCTATGTCTTGGATCCAAAAATCAACGATTTGTGTCAGGAACAGATGGCTATTACCCGATGAGATCTATTTGAGGTTACCCATAAAGACTGGACTATTATCATAATACTTTTAAATTCTTAAGCAAATATTTAGGTACAAATCGTAAAACTGCAAATAAAGAATCTTTTCAAGAAATTAATCAAAACATTACCATTATCTATTTCGGTTATTGTGCTGTAAAAATTCCAATCGAGTATTAAAAATGTTATTGTTTAATATGATTACAGATGCTCCAAACGAGACTTCCCTCCAAAGAGGCGATAGTGAGGCAGTAGTGGTTTTACCAGGCTCAGTGTCGGAGTCACAGCGTCGAGTCAGCTTCGTGGTGTTTAGAAATGACAAGGCCTTCCAGAACACGGACTTGCATGCTGTTAACAGTCGAGTGCTTAGTATCAAAGTGGAAAATGTCACTAAGTTTAGTGGAGGAGAGGTAAGTTTTTATGGAAATATTATCTTTGTCCTATAACTAATTTACTTAACTTTTGTATCTTAAAAATCAGTGGCGCTACAACCTTTTTAGGTCTGGGCCTCAGATTTCTGTATCTGTTTCGTGATGGTCTAATAACTTAAGTAGGTGATCAGCCTCCTGTGCCTGATGCACGCGCCGTCGTCTTTTGATTCTAAGATAAGCCGGTTTCCTCACGATGTTTTACTTCACCGTTCAATGTTAAATGCGCACATGGAAAGTCCATTGGTGCACCGCCAGGGATCGAACCCACGACCTCAGGGATGAGAGTCGCACGCTGAAGCCTAGGCCAACACTGCTCATTTCCTTTTGTCCAGTTGTTTTTAATGTTTTATTTTTAATCAGTCAGATTTCTTTTTATAAAATTTGCAAACAAGTTCATTACAGTATCTAATATTTATTTCAGGTTATTGACATTCATCTCAGTCCGATTTCGTCAAATATAAGCAGAAACCAAAGTCGAACTTGCGGTTACTGGAATTTCCTTGATGATGGATCCGGCTCCTGGTCTCAAGACGGTTGCACCTTCATACCTTCCACGGGAAGTGGAGTTTTGGACACCTGCCGGTGCACACATCTCACCCACTTTGCAGAAATTCTCATACCGAAAGAAGTCTTCACCGAACGTCACGAGAATATTCTCGAAATGATCACCGTTATTGGATGTTGCGTCTCTTTGTTCGGGTTGTCTTTAGTCGCAGTCACCGCCATCATGTTCCGATCCTGGAGACGGGACTTCAGCAACAAAATCTGGCTCCAACTCTGCATTGCAATTTTCCTCATGGCGCTGACATTCATTGTCGTAGTTTTTGCCCGTTTCAGTACTTACAACATTCCCTGTATGTTGATAGGGGTCGCTTTACATTACTCTGTACTAGCATCCTTCTGTTGGATGCTAGTAGCAGCCGTTCTGTCTTACCGACGCTTAGTTCTCGTCTTCACTAGGGACGCCTCTCACAAATTATTGCGAGCGTCCGTGTTCTCTTGGGGCTTGCCTTGTGCGATAGTCGGGATTCTTCTTTCAGTTGCCCCGCACTCTTACGCGGGGCGTTTCGAAGAGAAGACTCCGACCGGTGCCTTTTGCTATCCTTCCGGTGTGAGCCTGTGGGTGACAGTGTACGCACCGATCTGTGCAGTGATCTTTGTGAACTGGACGCTATTTATATTAATAGTCCGCTCTGTGTTCGCATCGAGAAGAATCCAACGGCACGGTGACACTAATGAAGCGCTGCGGTGTGCGTCCGTCAGTTGTTTATTAGTGTTTTTGTTCGGGTTACCTTGGATTTTCGGTCTCTTTGCATCGAATATCGTTTCTGCGTATTTGTTTACGTTGACTGCGTCGTATCAAGGTTTTATATTGTTTATTTTCTTCGTGGTGGGCAATAAAAAGACGCGTGATTTGTGGTTGAACAAGTTGAAGATAAAACAGACGCGTAAGGTTCCTGTGACCTCGTCTTCTTACTCCAATAGAAGTACGGGATGGAGGCCAAATACAAATACGACTATTGAAACCAAGGTCTCGAAGCCGAAATCGCTGTCCACTCCAGACGACTCGCGGTTCTCTTGACGAAAGTCGCGAATACCGCCCAAGAAGGGCTGGTACTTGGGCAGCTATGATTCCTTCCAAATATAACATTAGTTTTGCCAGCTTTAAGTGTGGTGAGACTGCTCGATTCTTCTAGTCTTTCTAACAGTGGCGGTAAAAGGTCTGGAAAGATGAATTTAATTCACAATCTCTATTTTATCGTGTTACCCATAATTGGTTTTGTAATGACTTATAAGTATTATTAGTCGTAATAATTGCTTTATCACGACGGATGATTTGTCTTGGAAAATTCCGTCCGCCGCTGTTTTCGTAATTAGTGTTCTTATTTATTGTCGAAGGATAAGTATAATTCTATAATTTGTAACAAATCAATTTACAATGATATCTATTAAATGTTGTAAGTATTAAGATGAAATGTTCCATTAGTGGTTAGGTGTAGATGGCGTTTTACCAATTCATATATATATATTTATATTACCTATGATACCTTAAACTTTTGTAAATAGTTTAGCTTAGAAATTACAAAACATGTAGAGGCTATCTGGTATTAATGTTAAACCAAATAATTTTTCACTTGTATGTGTAAAATATTTTTAAGATATAATTTATTGTAAATGCATTTTGAATACCACTTGCAATAAAATAATATGATATATTTATAACTCTTTTTATGAAACCTACTTAATAATCAATATAAGAACCCAGTGGCTCGTTAGGGTTGAACTGATTGCATCTATTTCTTTAATATTATCGTTTTGTCATAGACAAGTAGGTGATCAGACTTATGCGACACGTCTATTTTTGGACCACGTCTAAGACGAGTAGACGTCTTTTGTTTTGCTTTTTGTTATGTAATGAGAGGTAAACGGACAGGAGGCTCACCTATTGGCAGTAATACCGCCGCCCATGGACACACACATTACCAGAAGGCTCGCAAGTGCGTTGCTTTTTAAGAACTAGTACGCTCTATTTTTGAAGGTAAGTCCTTCTCGAGTCGAATCAGTTCTGAAATACTTCAGTGGGCTGGTTCCACATAGAACCACTATTATATTTATGTTTTTTTATATGAATCGTAAAATTGTCTCCATCCTTTACTTAATTATAATTTTAATATCTAATACTAACTATTTAATTGACCTGTTTATTACGTATTCAAGGAAACCTACAAGATCTATATTGTATCTCCTCACAAGAATAGCCCGTCGCTTAGCAACGCCCTATTTACAATAACGCTTCACTACCATATTGTTTATAGAGCTATGACATTGTCTTTGTAGCCTGATTAGTAGCCATTTCTGTTGTAAGAGTGTAGTGAAGAGCACGTAAAATGTACTGGGGAATCAGCCCTGCATTGGATTTGCAGCAGGAGTATATTAAACACGGCGACAGAAATGCATATGAACTTAATTTTCTCGTTATCGGAGGCTGCGATGCGAGGCACCTTATCAAAACACTGGCGCAAGCGTACCGGCACAAGAGAAGGTACATGAATCTGTTTGTTGTCGATGGTTGTCCTGAACTCATTGCACGTCAACTCCTTCTTCTATCCTTGGCGTTGGAACGAACGACACGATGCGGCTTACTGGAAAAAACGAGGCGCTTCCTGGAAGTTTATGGCAATCTCTTACTTCGACCAACAACCTCTCGGTATCTAAACGGAAAAGCTCGACAATTGGTTGAAATTATCACTAACCCAGAATACATGAGCTGTCTTATACCTACCGTGTCTATAGACCAGATGAAGTACCGAGAACGCGATTATATGGAGAACCTTTTTAACTTCTGGACCACAGGTAACACCAACCAATTTAACGCCTGTGAACTTTGGGAGCACCGCCTACGTCATAGCCTCGGCGTCAGATACGACAACAGAGCAGGAGTCTTCGATTGGGACTATCACATGCGTATGAAGGAGGTTGCCAGCCAAATTTGTTTCCAGGAATATAAGCATTTTAGAGAGCATGGTATTGCTTACACTTGGTTGGAGACGGAAGTTTGCAGACCGAACGTAAGTTTTGCTGCAGGCGTTTACAAATGCGGTGACAGATACTTGCATAGGGGATATCTTGGAGATATGGTGAGCTCACCGTACTTGGCGTATGGACTAGACTGTGAAGACAAAGACATGTTGAAATCGACTCATGGCGTCAACTACCAACGTGCCACAGATATTTCCGAACGTAATTTACTGAGGATGTTTTATGAGTTGGAGAACCGACAGGCGTTTGATGTTAATGCCTTTAACTTGGATAATCATCAGAACCTGGGAATGGTGAGGTTGAGTCAACTTGACGCGAAGATTTCTGAGAGTGGCCAAGAAGCTCCGTTGATTTTGCGAGAGGATCGCGACACGTATATTGAAGTGGATTTTGGTAAAGTTCATTTTCTGTCGCTCTCTGCATTGGAACATTACCCGCACAAGCCGCACTTTCAGGGACTCTTCCACGGTGTGTTTGTTGGCCACAACATGTTCTCCCGCTTGAAGCCTAGTGTATGGTCGATGGCCCGTGATGATGCCGTAGTTCTGATGGAGTCTCGCAAGTATATGGTTGGGTTGAAGCGAGAAGATGTGAAGTCATACGGCGAGCTGATTCAACAAGCGGCAACGACAGCGCAGTGCGATAGAATTACAACTTTTAATCCAGAAAAAGATGATTTTGCCAAATTTATTATAAGGAGAAAAAGCGAGAGCACTGATATATCACTATAATGTAATTTAAACCGATGTTTTATTTGTAGTTGTTTAATAAACTAAATCAAATCTATCTCATTATGCATTATTTTATCTCCAATGATTAGTAATATAATATATATATATAGGTTTTAAAAATGTAGTTCTTAACGGAATGTAGGATAGTTTAAATAATATTTTGATCTTCATGAACTAATAATCTGCGCTCTCATTTTCTCGAAAGTATTAAGATAAGGGTAAATAATGCAACTTCAAAAATTTGTATTCATCTATTTTCGGTAATTAATAATATTATGTTACATTCATTTATTAAATAATATAGCAAATATATTTACAAGGACGAAATAAAAAGGAAAATCATAACGTTTCAACGTTTTTCGTTTAAAATTCGTATTTTATAATACATAATATCACTTATCAATAAAATTCATGATCAGTTAGTAGTGGAGATTCCACGGATTCACTTAACCTTTTCATATTTTAACTTACGTTATCCGCTACATTAGACAAACCTAAAGTTCAACTTTATAGTTATTTTAGCATAAATGTTACAATTATTAACATATATTATAACATATAATAACTCCACAAACAGCTGTTTAAAAGACATATTGTTTCGTAATAAACTAGATTAAAGCTTTGTTCATCAAACTATAAAAACATATAACATTATAATAAGATTATTTACTATCTAGTAAACTTGAGCGAAATAAAAGCACAACCCAATTATTGCGCGGTGAATAATGTGTGTTTTAAGTGGGTATTTAATCTACACCTGAATTTTAATAAGAACATATTCCGATTTTAAAAAGACTTACATTTATTCTACATCATACGTTGTTCAGACAATAATTTACATACAACTTCAACCTCATTGTGTAGATAGAAATACTTGAGAATACAACATTATGTGCGTACATCCAAACATCCATAACCTACGCTTACGAAATAATGGAACAGACAATTATGTGAATCCGTAGAGGCCCGGTTCACTACCGTGAGCAATGGCGGTAAACGGCGTCCGCAAATTGACGTTTTAGGCCCGCGCGACACGCGAGTGCGGTCGGTCACACAGACTACACACGATAGAAGATAACGATATAGATAATATACAGAGGATTTTAATGGTAGACAGACATCTAACACGATATTTAATTTTAAGAATGTCTCTGCTAAACACCTGTACTTTCATAAAATAAAACAACTGAGGACGACTGCATATTAGCGAATTAAAATAACTGTAACTAAACAGTTGTTTTAAAATCTAAAAAAAAATAGAAAAATTTATAAATAAATTTACCAGCAAAATTGATCGTCAAAAGTAGTGCCTTATATTTGTGAAGTGTGCAAAATTACGACGTTACTCTTTATAATTTTAACTTATAATATTGTATTTCCCCGCTGTAATAAAACGATGAATACTTTAGCTAAATTCTTTTTTAATGAACTGAACTGTTAGCAACTGGTTCTCAGAGTGAATTTTCTATAGACATAGGTAATCGTATAACCAATATAAACTGTTGTTTTTTCCTACCTAAGGTAAGTGTTATCTACTTTTCTTATACACCAATTACTATTTAAATTATACAACAACGGTTTAAAATTACATACACACGACTGGAAATTGAGCGTCTTACCAAAATTTTTCATGCCTACAAATAATTACGTGATACTTATTAATTACCTCACTGTCTCTGGCAGTGTTTTGGACTTAATGCAGAATAAGAAGTAATATTGGTATCGTAATAAACTATACCCGTATTTACCGTCTTAGGTCTCGACCGCACGCACGGATGTTTCGAATGATTCGCGCACGCGACGCCGACTGGGCGAGACGTGTCGACAATACGCTTTACCAATATTAAATACGCGAAAGTGATAGATATTCATTTAAACATGCAGACTTAGAGATGTTATTTATTTGATGCAATTTAATTTTCACTCGATATCGAGTTTTATCTTAGTTTAAAGCGTAGAATATCTGATCACTCGTACACGAGAGCAAGTGCCACGCCCAGTCACAGAGTATTGCATTTATGACTACCCTGTACGAATTAATATTTTACTATTTAGACTTACACATTATAACCATTACCTATAAGATTAATTACTTAAAATCGAGACCCTCAGGCTCAACATCGTTTGTATATTTAACGAAATACGTCAGTACAGCTTTTTTAATCCACTGAAGAAGTGTATTGAGCTCGAAACGGGCATACTGCACTTCATCTTAGTTATAAAAAAGCCGCACAGACGACGATTCATCCACATTGAAGTTAAACGAATTGTTGATGTCTATTCATTGATTTTACTTTAATTAACTACTAGTTACAACGTGGCGAAGCCACCTAACCTAGCGTAAACGCGAATGAAACGATAACGCCCTAAATTGTCACAATAAATTAAAACAGAAAACCTATAACATATAGGGACCATCCCTGACGAAGCACCGAGACTCATCTGACATATTAAACTACAATCGAACTATAACTTCCATCGGTAATATTTGATTTTAAATAGGTACCTAAAACTAATCTATTTCGCGTTTCTATTAAGAAACGCTTCGAGTCATGACGTTTCGTCAGTATGTGTACAACATCTTCCACAAGTTTGGGTAAATTCGTGTTAAATTTAATAGATACAATTATAATAATATACATATACAGGTACAATATACGTTCTGATAAAATCCGAAATAACTTTTATTCACATTAACGTAACCTATTTAGAACATGTGTACGCAATAGACTAGATACAAAAACTTTATAGTGCATGGTGTTGCGAGATCTCTGAATTTCAAACTAATTGCTAGAGTGACGTTAACGCCTTTGAGAATCCGAAACGAAAGAGACAATCGAAATATCCAGTGTCAATAAGTTAAACCTCGCGAAGTGGGCTGTTTGTCGGAGAGGTGATGCGGTATGATAGCGACTGACTGACTCTCCGGGGACGGCTGCCCGCCTTCGTGCTGCGACGAACCAAACAACTCACAGATCTACACGTCGCCGAGCTCGCGCTTCAACCTTATCAATCCAACTAACAAGTGACACGTTAAAGCTTCGCTTGTGTACATTTATGTAATTTGTTAAACGCCTATCTAAGTAGCGGATAGTTGAGCTCGTCTTCACAAGTGCCGAGCTCGACGCGACAAGGACCTCGGCACCGCACTTACAGCTACATCCATCGAACAATTAGTCACTTACTCTAGACATACACTCGGCCGCGGTGGCGTCGCGCGCGGCGCGTTAGACATAAAGCGTATCGATTTAAAACGAACATAACATCGCTCCACGAACGACGCCGCCGCAGGGCACGCTCGGGGCGTAACGCTAAACTAAATATTTCAGTCATATCGTAACGTGCACTTTATGATATATGTACATTTGACAATCTAACGATTAATACGTATTCACATGCGCATTCACTATGTGCGTCCTAAGCTAGCGGTGTCGATATTGCAGGGTCAGTGGGTGTACTCCGGGAATGCGGCGGGGCGGTCGCTGGCTGAGCTGCCGACTGGCGATGGGAAGTAATCCCGCGCGGCCACCGTCTCTTCACTCGCCCACCGGGCTAACTGTTGTTGAGCTTGAATAAATTCATCACTAGAAAATGATAGAGAACAGGAACGGAGAGCGCGCTCTGAGGCGCCAGACGGGCTCCACAGTCTACTCTAGCCAATTTCACCGCGTGTAAATGAGACAATATGATATATTGACGGTGCTTATATGATTTGGTAAGTTGCGGTCGAAGGCATAACATGAAACTGATTAGGTTTTTAAGTATAACTTTTTCGGATCTTAAGCATTAACAGATGAAAAAAAAACAAAGGAATTAAAGCAGAATATAAAACTTTCATCTGAGAAGAGATGGAATAGTAAAAAAATTAATAAATATTTTAAAAATGAAAAGTAGGAAGAGCAAATAAAAACAAAATTAATAAAACGCAACTTTGAATTTATAATAAGACTTCGGAGCCCGTTTTAAGCTATAACATTTTAATGTAGAGTATTATTAATTACATTCAAAATGATAAGTGAAACATGATTAATATGGGTATAATGTTTTGCAACGGTAAAATTAATTAACAAGATGAGTATTACTGTTTAAATGTAAGTGGTATTAAGCAATCGTTTGCCCGAATAATGCAGATTATTGCTACCAGTATTTGATGGGGAGCATGAGAAAGCGTACCTTTCGCTATCGGGTGCGTCCCTGAGTCGTTCAGCGTCGGCAGTCTCGTAGAGAGCGTCGTCGTCGGGTGGGACGCGATGCGCCGAGTGCGAATGTGGCGCGTGCGCGTGCGCAAGCATACCCGGAGCGGGTGCAGCAAATATGGCTGAATGGTGCCGCCCGCTGCCCCGGAAGCCTCTGTAGCTAAAGCGCGTCTCTTCCTCGCCCGGTGGAGGACGACCGCGACACCGACTGTCGGCCGACCGCCTTCAATTCAAAGTAGCTCAGTTAACGAATGATCGGCATTTGTTGGAATAAGCGAAATATATAAGATACTAGCAGACCGGCCAAGCGTTACTGTGATAAGGTTTTTGTCATATTACATAGTAGTAAACTATTCAAGGGAAACGGTAGGAGAATTATGTGAAAGGTAGATAGCTTATGTGAAACGTTGGTACTTTTAACACAGCGCCATCTGTTAACGGTATCAAATAATAAACAAATATTTGCAATAAAATAATATTGCGGGTATTAATTGAGATGTAAGCTATCCTATCCTATCTTTTATGTTGGATCAAACTACACACGGTGTGCAAATTTGATTGATATCGGTTCGGTACATATACATAGCGGACAAACAACGTGACACGTAATTTATATATTTAAAACTTGAAAGTTTTTGCGGTTTTAAATTGTAATCCCAAACGAACTACATCTATTTTATTACCAATAATATATTCTAATTAAAAACATTGCCATAGCGACCAAACTGGTTTAATTTTTAAGTTTGAATTATTTTTATTACTATATAGGTTAACAATATTGTGTATACTGTATAAAAATATACAGTATACACAATATTGTTGCTATGTTTATTACCGTATTTATTTATATACAAGCTCTGAGTTCAAGTCACATTCGTTTGACGACTTCCGAAGCTCGCTGCTATAAGCTTAATATGAAAACTGAAAGCTTTATAGCTGATTTAATGAGAAATGAATACGATTTAAAGCCTATGAACTCATGCATTTTGAAATATGTTCTAGTACAAAAGAAAATAAAACAAGAAATTCCAACTGTCTTACAGATTGATTAAAAATAATACAAAGTTTACTCACGGTGCCACATCTTCAATCCTATAATGTCTATCGGCTTCAGTCTCTGACATCCTGATATCTTCGGAACCAGAGGGGCTCATGTGCCGACTGGAGTGCTGTTCCAATTGCCGGATGAGGTCTTCCAAGTTTCTGATGCGATAAGGTACGCAAGGTGGCTGGTCGTCTTCCTCCTCCTCTCCCCTTTGCCTTCTAAACTCTGTCTCATGAATCTTTTCAGCACTGGGCGCCCTCTCCCTTTTGTATACGAAGTCCTGTAAAGCATGAAGGTCTCCCGATCCAGAGGCACCTGAGGCACGATGAGCTGCTGCTGTTTTTAATGCTTCAATTATATTCTCGTGGTAGCCGTTTAAATCCTGAAAAATCAGTTAAACTCAGTGTAAAACTTGTTAAGTAAGTTAAATCATATATTTGAAGAAAAAGCAATGACCTGATGTAAGTATTTTTTAAGTTTAAGTGAAGTTAATATATGATAATACTGAAAATAGTTAACTGGAAATTATTACATTAATTTAAAAACAATACATTTTTGGAGAATTTATATCCAGGCCTTTTCAGACAAAAAATATTTATCATTACCCAAGTTTAGTTTAATTTCTTTGTTTATAATAAATTTATGAATTTATAAATGTTCTTTTTGATATTTTTTCTTCTGCCTCTTAATTTGCTACTACATATATATATTAATTGTGACTCAATTAACCCTTGGATTAGCTTTTACATTTTGTTTATTTGTTTGTTTTTTTTAGATGTCACTTTATTTTAGTTATGTTATTTTGAGTTTTTTAATTATTTAAGTACTTCTTGTACTTTACCCTCTGTAGGTGTTTCTGTTTTAATTGTTCCATATTAGAGTTGCCTGGAAGAAATTACTTGTTAACGATAAGGCCACCCGTTGCCTATTAACTTATATAACCTGATTTTTTATACGTATGTTTTTGTATAAGGTCACGATGTGTAAATAAATAAATTTCATTTAATACAGATAAAGAGAACGATAATTAAAAATACAAACTTTAGGTGTTTAATAAAGCATACCTTAAACTTGTATTCCATATCAGCAACAGCTCCAGCAGGTTCCTGGCCATCTGACTGGGAACCTGCCTCCAGATGTTCAGATTGTGAGTCGTCTCCCCATTTATCTTTACCATCTATAGCTCCATAGCCGTGCTTCTTAAGAATACCTTTCTCTGGCAGCTTTGACATATTACCAGGTGTCACGTCAATAAATGCTATGTCTTCTTCACCTGAAAGATACAACGCATATTTTAAAACGGAGTAAAACCGTTCGTTTATTTAATTAAAGGTAATAAAATATTACAGAAAATTACAGTTTTTAACATCCTGATTAAATGCGGTAATAAGTTATAAATAATGATTTTTATATGCACTTGGCAAAATTCTTAAAAAGATTTTAGTTACCCGAATGTGTTGGGTCATCTTCACTACCAGAATGGACGCGCTTCATTTTATTGTGGTCTCTGAAGGTAAAAATATATTTATTACTATGGCGGCTTAAAGTTATAAAAAATACAACAGCAAAAATGGATTTTGCGCATGCGTATGGAACTAGTGTTTTGACTATGTGAGGAAAAAGTGTTGGCTATTGCTATTTTCTAAAGTTACTCATTATTCGCTAATACTAAAGGGAAAGAAACCTCATAATGTATAAATATTTCCTCTGTAAGACAACATAATTAAGATAACAGATTAATAGACTGGTTCAATGGCAACTCACGGATATCGGCCAGCGCCACCAGCCCCAGACATGTGATTGCCCTGTCTGAAGATAACGCGCTGCGAGTCGCCACGGCTGAGAAATTTGGAAAAATTGTTCAGGTGACGGAGAAATTTTAGCGTTGTTTATTTTTCGAACCAATGTATGAAATTGCACTCATAAGAATAATATTTTGCGTAGTTACCAAATTGCTGAATTACTGCTTACCAATCGCACTTTTCTAGTGTTTTCATACTACGAACTATGTACTTCTAAAAAACTTGCTCAATAAAAATTTCAGTGCAAGTTACTGCCAATCAGATATAGCACAAATCTATAAAGTGAAAATAAGACCAAAAAGCGTGTCACTGAACGCGTACTGTGAGTTCGGTTGGTCAGACTACGTCACGCTCGTGGACACCAGAAGCTGAGTTGCTGTACCAAGCCATCGGTAAGGCGAGTGTAATAAAAGCGAAAATTGTCTAAATAAAGGTAAGAGCGGTGAGAAACATCCGCCAAGCATCGACATACCTTAGGAGGTTTCTGTTTGATCACCAGATCCGATTAGAAGAGGAAACAGAGTTTTAGTAAGGGGATATATTATAGGGTATGGTAATAATGGTATGTGTTTTAGAGTATGATAATAACAATAAATACATTTAGAAAATCCAAATCCTTCTAAATCACATACATCTTGAGTAATAGTTTGATAATTTATAAAACTATTTCGATTGATCTATAGGTTGATAGTGAAAGTATTGTAGTCGGGAGAAGTGTGACAGTAATAAGTGAGAGCCTATAGATAAGTTGTAGTACACACCTGAACGTGTTGTTGAAAGAATGTAACTTCCCGGTCTCCATGGAGATATCCTCTTGTGAGTTGTTGGATGTGGTGGATCCGCCCGCGAAGCTCTTAGCGATGGGTTTCTTGACATACGGAGGGTCGTATTTCGGCAGCGTGCTCTTTTTCCTGGTGCAGGCGTGGCGTGGGAACGCACACTCAGATCAATCGATTACGTTTACAACATCGAGTCGTCTAATCGTGACGGAATCGAGAACACCTCAAGTATATTAAGGGATCAATTTTGAAAACGATGTTTTCGTTTCCGATTGGCTATGTATGTGTGAACGAAAGTTAGCAATGGCAACCGCACTTTAAAAAGCACCAAATTATGAATTAAATAATACCGTCACAAAAAAGTTTTACGATATATCTGATATTGGTAGCTTTCATTCAACACCAGATATTTTTTATATTCAGCAATAATAAGCACTTTACTTTTATTCGGCAGTTTATAAATACAGACTGTTAAAAAACTGGCGCTTTTGGATATTATAATTCGATTTTAGATCAATAATTTTAGAATAATTTTATCTTTTCGTTTCATTCCTCATGGGAATTAATGTTATGTGAAACATAATCAATAGATCGATCTTAAACTTAAGTGATTAGATTCGCTTCATTAAAACTCATTACAAATAATAATACTAATTGGTATGAAATCTCGTATAATGAAATTTTGATCAGTGAGGTCATTGGAGTTTGTGCTGTACAAGTTCTAAGGAAACGATCTCTTTCTTAAATACAACATTAGGCGTTTCTAACTAAATAGACAGCTGCTTGAAAGAAGAATTCGTGCATCGCACATTCGCTGTTCGTGCAAAAGATTTTAGACTTTAGTGGCAGTGAATGATTGGTGAAATCAGAGTAGCTATCTAAATCTTCCTGTACTTAGGATCATGACACTACATGAATGGAAAATAACAAATCAAATAAAATTACGTAGAGCCGATAGTTCTAATGGAGATGTAGGAAGATGTAGATGCAGGGTCGCCGGGTCGCTGTCTGCGGCGCCCGGCGACTCGCTCCGACCAAGAAAGGAAACGAAAACGAGTCACAAGTTCACATAAGCCAATGCATACATCCAAGAGCCCAGAATCTTAAGGGTTTGAGTCGAGGTGTCACTCGAATACAACGAGGAAAGCCCGGTCGGCATGCAGCAGGCGGCCGCCGCACAGAACGCCAGATCAAACGCAGTCGGGCCGCGCCACCCGCAACTAGTTCTACGACCACAAATAAACGACAAACAACGTCCAAGTAAAAGAAATAAAATCAATCGTCGACATCGATAAACGAAACATCAACGCTAACGTCTAAGTAAACATACAAGTATACGAAGGTGACGGTAAATTTCTCCATAAAGACTACCTTTGGTCTGTTTTCTGCTCACTAACCTTAGGCACAGGGAGAAGTTTTTGTGTACTACGACTGACCTGTAGCAGAGAGCGCTCAGGGCAAATACTATGAATACCCCCCCTACCACAGACATGAGGACCGCCACGAGGAATACCGTGTTTGAGCCGTGGTAGTTCTCTGCGCCCAAAGAGAAGGGTTAGTCACGCGCGGATCGGCGGCGTCGTGATCGCCTCGCCTCGTCTTGCGCTAACGCTACCCCACGCCACTTGGCATTAAACGATGACCACAGAAGCAAAGCAACGTCGTAGTGGCGTGAGCGCAGACGGCGGACGGCGCGGTCGCGACGGACGAGGCCGAGGTAGCCGCGGGACCGCTCACATTTACGACACGACAGACAGGCACGAGCGACGACATTGCCACAACACTCAGTTACCGGCCGTTACCTGAAGCAGTACGCCATCCAGGCGAAACCCACGAACACGGAGAGCACGACAGCGAGTAACATTACCACCATCATCATAGTGCTCATCTTATTACTGCCGTGTTCACCTGCAAAGAGGGGTCCCGCGCGTTAGTACGTCGGCCACGCTGCCGCCGCGACGCGCCGCGCTACAAGACTCGTATACGCGTGCCTTTATATATATATGCAAACGTGTGTACGTCTGAAACTAATCTAGATTATTTAACATAGCATACACTCTATGTCATATCGACATATTGCTAACGCGTTCAAGTAGAATTTCGTTCAAATAAATTGCCTATTATGGTTTTTATTTAGTGTTAAAAGTTCACGTACACGAAAGCTTGCAGCACAATTTTATTGAGCGTTGCTCAAAATTAGCCAATTTTTGTCATAAAATAATAGAAAGTATAATAAGGTTTATTGACAGAGATAAGAAGGCACCTGAAAACATACAAAGCAAAACATATTAGTAGCCGTAAAATAAATTTGAATAGATAAAAAATAAGTTGACATGGGAAGTGTTGCTGGGTATTGAAGAAATTAACTGTAATAGAGACATAAATAAAACAATTGTCTATAATAAATACTTAAGAATATGTTATGTTAGACGTAGATTTGTGTACTGAATATAAAAATCTTCATTAAACTATATTTTTTCAATGAATTTCTTGATTAATTCAATATATGTAACAATAAATAGAACTCAATGATCAGTGTATATTGTATAAATTAAATATCTATTGTGTTTTTGAAACTGAACAAATCTTGTAACAATTTCTTTTTTAAAGAAAATTCTCTATTACTGGGGTCGACTCACCATACGGCGTTTCCTTCTTTGTCATATTGTAGGCGGCCTTGGTAGAGTTTTCTGGTACCCAGGCTGTGGGAAGGGGTGGCAACGCGTCGGGCTGAGAGCAATCTGGTCCTGTCCACCCGCGGTTGCACACACACTTGTTCATGTTGGAACATAGCTGGAAATCGATATATAATGTTAAGACATAGACATAACATTTATTACTTACAAAAACACACACACATAAACACACAAAATAACAATAATCAAAGAAAAAGCAAAAAATATAATGAGAGATATAAAAAAAAATCCCTTTTCCCATTCGGTTCGTTTCAAGTGTGTAATGCATGTGTGCTGTGGCTGTAATTAGCCCTGGCTCAGCATGAGCTCTGAGGAGCAGAATGTTCCAGAGCGCTGGTCATTGAGACCACAGCAGCTAGTTTGCGCCTCAGTCGCAAAAATAGAAAGAAAATGAATGGGAGGAATAAATGTTAAGGGATTATGGGACTTTTTCACTAACCAATGAGATGCTTTCCTGATTTCAGTTTTTAAGCTGTGCCCGATACAATTTTATTAAATAACCTTACCCCGGCTATAATAACAATATATTGTTAATAGAAAATAAACAGATAAATAGTGTAAGAGTCATATAAGAGTGTTTCCTCCAACTTCGATTTTGTTCTCTTTGGAGTAGAGACTCTTGGGCCGTGGGGTTCAAGTGCACAGGCGCTTATTAAAGATTTAGGTTGGCGCCTGGTAGGTCCGGTGACCCCAGAGCTGGTGCTTTCCCCGCTCAACTAATACGCTGAATAGGGACCAAACTTTTCAAATTTGTTTTAATTTTCTATTGATTATTTTTTAATTATTATTGGTATTACTATATACATAGGTTAAGAACTGTAATGTTTTGGTTCTAATAAACGATATATATCCATAATAGTGAAATACAATTTTGTAAAATTAGTAATAGTTCGTATTCCATAATTCTAAATAAAAAATAATTAATATTTTTTTAAATCAGTTCTGTATGTGTCTTATTCTCAAAGACTTATACATTTATTTTCTAATATTATAAATCTCTATATATAAAAATGAAACCCGTTTTCCGTTGTCACGACATAACATGAAAACGGCTTGACCGATTTGTCTGATTCTTTTTTTATAATATTCCTTCAAGTACGAGGATGGTTCTTACGGAGAGAAAAATTAAAAAAATTGAGTGAAAAAGTCTAAAAACAACACTTTTCTATATTCCCATACAAAATATTCGTAATAATACTTAAAAGTCAATTTGAACTTTAATACCATATCATAAAGTTCAAATGTTAGTGGAGGGGTTCCGGGAAGGTAAATTTTAATTTTTTGACATAATGTATTTGTTGTCTTATCAACTTTCTTTTTTTTATCTTACTAGCTAGACCGGTGTCCCGAATAGCAGATGTATTTAAGAGTAAGAAAAGTATTTAAAAAAAATAAAGAATCGACTGTTAGGCGGTACGATGTTCGCCAGGCCAGCTAGTATATTATAAATTGTTTACAAAACGCTGGAAAAAAGAATTATAAAATGTTTCCTTTATGTTAAACCACTAAGCAAAAATAAGCTTACTTAAGCATCGAATGAAGTTTAAAAGTTAACAATTCAAGCGAGCTTTAAAACGAAATATATTTCTCGTATCTCCGTGGAAGGAACGTACAATCGCTGTTCGAGAAACATGTTATTTTGCGAGATTTAAAAAAGTTTTGTAGCAACTTAAATTGTTCAGTGCCTCGCACCTTAAGGAAATTATTATCCTCAGGTGAACAGGTGTCAGAAAAGTTATAATAACGTCTGCTTGGGTACGCCTCAATGGTATTTAATGTTTTGACTCATGGATTCTGCAGCAAACTTCTGAATACGAAATTCGTAGGCGAGCGAAATCTATTTAAATGTCGAACTGATTTAAATACGTTTCCGATTTTATATTCCTAGACAGACGAATGTTATGCAAAGCTTAATTTTATTTTTAAACTATAATGGGTTTTATATACAACTAGCTGACCGGGCAAACGTCGTTTTGCCATGTATATCATTTATAATTAAAAAATAGGGGTTGATCGTAGAGGGGTGAAAATTAGGGGTTGCATGTATTATTTAATGCTGTATCATAAAAAATAAAAAATTAATCTAAAAATTTAAAAAAAATTAGGGGTGGACTACCCTTAACATTTAGGGGGATGAAAAATAGATGTTGTCCAATTCTCAGTTATACCCAATATGTACACAAAAATTAATGAGAATCGGTCGAGCCATTTCGGAGGAGTTTAACCACAAACACCGCGACACGAGAATTTTATATATTACATTTGTATGGTTTACAAAAACAATGTCTTGAAAAGAAATACACACGGTTTATTTTAAAATATCGTTTACTAATATTTCTTCATATAAAACTGTAGCAGTACATCCCAAATTTTATTATTGTTAAGTTATATGTAGTTATAGTTAGAACAGCGTTTTCCAAGCCTTTTTGTGCCACACTAAAAATTGTTATGCCCACTACTATGTTAAATACATATTTTTAATACTGAAACTTGAAATTATTATGAAACTTGAAATTATTAACAAAAACACAGCAAGTAAATTTTCAAAACATGTAATGAAGAATTAAAATTCCAAATAATTTCAATACATTTTCGAATAGCCCTCTTAATGATCAAATTGCACCCCTGTGGGGCGTGGGCCCCACGTTGGGAAACAGTGGCTTAGAGGCTTCAGGGTGCGTCTTTCATCCCTGAGATCGTAGGTTCGATCCCTATCTGTGTACTCATTGACTTTCTGTCTATAGGCGCATTTAATTGCCGCTCCTAGAGTGGAGGAATACTGGAGTGTGTCAGGCACAGAAGGTATGACTGCCTAAATCCAAAAAAACAAAATGTATCACGAAACAGAAGAGAAACCTGAGGCCCACATCTAAAAGGTTGTTGGTCTTATATATGGTTATATTCTTGCGTGAAGTTTTTTGCCGGTCCATTTTGTAGGACATATCTTTATATATATATATATATATATCATTCTACTGTACGTGTGTATGTCACTGAACTCCTCTTAAACGGCTGGACCGAATTTAAATGATTTTTTGTATGCGTTTGGGTGGCGCCCTGGATGGTTTAGATTCACAAATGGGATGGCGCTGCAGTTGGTACTACATACTTTGTTTCCTAATCGCTTGAAATATCATGCAGGACAATGTCTGTCGGGTCCGCTAGTATTTTATATTTATTTAACTATATATTTTATGTTTTACTCTATTCTCTTAATGAATAGGGATATAGGTTAATTAAGAGAATAAAATATATTCTATAACTGCATCACTTGTAAAGATTACATTGCAACGACCGACTCACCAGGGAATAAGGGGATCCAATCAGCTCTCGTTTGAAACGTGTTTCGCTTATTCATTCAACAAACTGAACCCGAGGCAGACCTAAACAATGGCGACAGTTGACGTCACAGTAAAGTTAGTGACAGGATTATCTAAGTTTGAAATAGGAGTATTCACAACGCGTTAAGGAGTTCAACAGAGCATATTGTTGAAACTGCATTCAAAGCTGGTATGGACTTCGTTGGAATTAGATATTAATATAACTGGAGTCAATATTTGAAAATCGTTATATGAGAGCTCGTTGGCGCTTTTAGGTAACTTCTTCAATTAAAATTTGTCTGAGTCTGAGTATGAATTCTAAATAGACCCACAGTGATTATGCGGTTTATTGGGGAAGTTAAAACAAATAGTAAAAATAGGTGAATATGAAAGCAATTCCTGTATCCTGAATTTTGGCGTTCCCCAGGGATCAATATTAGGCCCCCTCATGTTCCTCATTTATATTAACAGTATCAGTGATTTGGGTCTCAAAGGTGACATCTCCCTTTATGCAGACGACACAAGTCTCTTTTACTTTGGAAACTCGATCGAAGCTCTAATAGCCGACGCTCAAACTGATCTTAATCTGTTAAATGAGTGGTTTCAGTCAAATCTTGTAACTATTAAAAAAAGTTAAAATAATAATTTAAGCAAGCAAAGGAAAAACTGTTTCAAATTAACAAACAAGTATAGTTAATAATTGTAATTTTGAGGAATCGTATAAGTAAACAAATAATATTACATATTTAATATACACTAGAGCATTGTTTCCCACCCTTTTTGGTGCCATTCCTTAGTCTTACAAAAATCATATGTAACATAAAAAAATATATATTAAAAATAGAATTGTTCACTTAAGATACTTAAATGATAGGTTGTTGGAAGACATCACTAGGAAATTATTAACGAAACGCAGTAGGTAAAGTTTCTAAAAATATAATGAAAAACTGAATTTCAAATTCACAATTTTAATGAATTAACCCGCTTAAAAAGTTTAATACATATAAAGACGCGTGTGAACATTTTAAAATTAATACTTTAGACTCGACGAAAACAATATGATTTATTGCTACTACATGACATCATCTCAAATAAAATTAATTGCAGCTCCCTTCTAGAAAAATTGCCCTTCCTTGTTCCTGCCTACCAGACTCGTAATCGTGCTTTGTTTCATGTTCCTCACATTAACACTAACTATGCAAAAAACTCAGTTTTATATCGCGCAGCCCGGACATACAACGACCAATATTTAAGCCTTGACCTGTTTAAGCTGTCGCGGAATATGATTAAAAGGAGTATTAAGAATATCCATAGCGCAAAATCACCTGCATCTTAAGCATACCCCACATACACACCTTCACGTACTTACACTCACTCTTACACCATCACACAACACAGCCAAATTAGGTATTATTTAGTTGAATGTATTAAATAATTTTTTTTTTGTTGTTTGTTTGATCCTGCAAAAAATTTTTAACCTTTTTGTAGTAAAATGTATTATGTATTCCATCTCTGGCTATATTTTCAGTGTATCTGTTTGTTATTATATATAATTTATGTTAGCTGTAGGATTACGAAATAAATAAATAAACAATCAAATTCCCCCTGGGTGGCATGGGCCTCACGTTGGGAAACACTAAACTAGTTGGTTGGTTGTGTCAACTGCAAAATTGCAATAAAAAATATTCATAAAGACATGTTATATTGAACTATCATCATCAGAGATAATTAATATATTAATTGTGCATAACACATTCAAGAGATATATATTATGAACGTGATTAATACATTAAAATATATTTTCGTTTTAATTACTTAAATTTTAATTGTGTTATTATCGAACTAAATTTGGCTCAAACGAATTTTGTCCGAATTAGGCATCTTCACTTTAACTTAACACCTAACTTAAATACCATTCATCTTTCTCTATCTACTTCTTGTAGATCATGTCTGATATCCTGTCCAGGCCCGGGGGAATATGACCCCATGTCCTACTTTCACCCGCCCTTGAATCCACATTGAGATGAGTTTACAGTTTTGATTATAGAAATAATTGTTGTCTATTGCGGGTAAAGGTCTGCAAATGATTAAGTTCATAAACAAAAAGCTCGCGGCGCATGTTCATATTAACGTTTCTGTGCCGAGTGCACTAAACATGCTCGCTGCAATTACCATTCTGTTTCGTCCGGATATGTCACTGCTGGATGAGCCGGATAACTTTAATCCGGTCCCAACTCCGCAGTTTGTTAACAACTTTCTTGGAATGTAAACGCGAGGAATGTAAGAGTGCACGTTGATTGTGAGAAGTATTCTATGAAAAGTTGTTCAACAAATAATGACTTCAATTTCATTGTGCTGTCTACAACTTTTGCTTTGAGCTTTTTTCATTTGAATTAGAAATTTGAATCACCATAAAGGAGTTTTTTTGAAAGGGAAAAGTTTCTCGACAAACACAGTTTTTACCGAGTACGTATATTGAAATAGAGTTTGCTGGATTTTGACATTTGTAGATATAGGCAATTTGGTGATCAGCCTTTACCATATGAACAAGTATTGATTACGCACTGTAAATGTACCCCTAATCATCGTCGATAACATGCTATTACTATTCATATTCTAGTCAAACTCTACTCATTCACATAGTAACACAGAACATAAAAAAATACATAATATCCGCCCAGCTAGCCCAGATTGTTTAACTTGTATCGACTTATACATAGTTAAAAAAATAAGTGGCGCTACAACCTTTTTAGGTTTGGCCCTCAGATTTCTGTATCTGTTTCATGAGTCCAATCTAATAGGCAAGTGACCAGCCTTTTGTGACACACGTCGTCGACCTTTTGGGTCTAACGCAAGCCGGTTCCCTCACGATGTTTTCCTTCAGCGTTCAAGCGAATGTGAAATGCGCGCATAGAAAGAAAGTCCATTGGTGCACAGCCGGGAATCGAACGACGAGAATCGCACTATGAAGCCACTAGGCCAACACAGATATATATATATATATATATATAATATATATGTATGCTTTTACATAGTTACATTGATTTAATTTATAGCCAATACGGTATGATAAAACATTATAAACGGAGGATTATCTGAATTAATACAATATCTTAATGTCAGCATCTAGTAACAATATGGCGGTGTGGACGCATAACTACGTTGACCGAGGCGCACAGCAATTTGATTTGCCGCCCTCTGCATAGCGTTGGGGATTCTATTATCTCTAAACTGATAACATTGATGTATGTCGGGGATTTACGAGCACGCCAGCCGCAAACTGTGATTTGAAGAATCCCGTTGACGCGACAATGGCACCAGGTGTATTACTTTATTGGGCGGGAAACCAATAAACATTCATATTGAATTCTGATATATAGCATGCGTTATAGACGAGGAATTGTATGAGGCAGATAGGTTCTTCATTTGAAATGTTTTTCGACTATGCTTTCTTAAAACCAATGACAACTTTTTTATAAAATAGGTTTGTCTTTTTATTGATTCTTTTTAAACTCGCTGCTCAAGCTTTGGATAGATATTTGCAACAGCTGATAAGATCAATTTATAATCAAGAATTTCGTAAAGCTAACAGCTTTGTCTCTTGGTAACCTGGTACTCGGTTGGTAGCCGCGCTGGTCTGAGACGGTTCCGCATTCACACTGCATGAGGTTATTACATATATATAGTATATAGTTTAACATTAATGATGATGATGTCTCACCATAGGTAACCAAATGCTTGCCTTTTTATATATTTTATTACCTATATTTTTTATAGAACAAACGGGCAGATTCCCCTGATGTTGAGTGAGCCCATAGACACTAGCAATACCAGAGGTCATCTCCGGATCTCCGCAGCTCAGTTTCATCATCGGACGTCAACATCATACGAAATTCCACCCTTACTGAAGTCCGTTTTTCAAATGCAGTTTTTAGCCACTTTTGCACGCACCACTGATATGTGGAATCAGCTGCCCACTGAAGTATTTACGAACCAATACGACTAAGGGTCCTTCAAGAAAACAATGTACCAAGTCTTAAAAGGCCGGCAACGCAATCGCGAGCCCTCTGGCATCGAGAGTGTCCATGGGCGGTGATATCACTGAACATCAGGTGAGTCCCTGCCCGTTCTATATTAAGGCCAGTTAACGAAAACGTCTTTAGAATCTTTTGTTATCCATATGAAATTAACGATAGCCAAAATTGGGTATTGGGAGGTAGTTTCCACTTAGCGTTGGACAATTGAGATGAGTTATCGTACGCCAACACCTAAACAATAGTGTATTGAACGTAACCCGGGGGAAAGTTTAGCGAACCGTTTTCCTAATTCAGTACGAGGTGCTAATTACCCAGATACGGACGGTGAACAATTAAACGTTAAATTATTGTTTATGTTGAAATTGTATGAATATCTGTTAAATTTTTATCTGGTGCTTGATTTTGAGGGTTTTTAATATGTGGAAAAACTCAATGTGTACCATAATGTTCTTCGTGGTGAATGTATATATGAAAATGTGCCCCTCATAAAAATTAATATTTTTTTCAATGATTGCATCCAAGAATATAGAAAAAATAAATGTCTTAAAAAGACAAAAAAATAATAATAATTTAAATTTATTATTTTATTTATTCAGAAACTTGGGATGATGGCATAAAAGGGCTAGCGAGTCAGAGTTGGAAAATTGTCGCGAGTAATAGAGATCAGTGGAAGAATTTGGAGGAGGCCTTGACTCCGTGGGAGGTAGTAATTAACTTAGTGTAGTTGTGTCATGTTATATAGTGGATGTGTGTGTTGTAGCTATTTTTATTTCAATAATTTTATTTCATTCAATTGACACCAAAGACAAAGTATAAAACGAGGTCATGCCAAGCCGTACAAAAATAAAAGACGTTGTAACATATACAAAAAGGCTAAAATGGAAATGGGCCGGTCACATTGGCCGCATTTGTGAGGGCAGATGGGTCAAAAAGACCCTTACTTGGAAGGGCCCAGTGGGAAAAAGAAAGAGAGGATGCCCACCAAAAACTTGGGAAGATGAATAAAAGGGATAGCGGGAAAAAACTGGAAAATTGTCGCAACAAATAGGGACAAATGGAAGAATCTGGAGGAGGCCTTCACTCCGTCGGAGGTCGAGTACTAGTGTAAAACATAAAAGACATGGACTTACTGTAGTTAAGGGTAAGGTACACTATGTACCTTACTTACTCGAATAAAGGCTGTTTTTATTTTTTATTTATTTAGAGCATACAGTAAACGAGCCTACGTGACGCCCAAAAAAGGCAGTCGTCTCAGTCCATGGATACTAATTTTAGTGAGTGCGTTGCCGGCCTTTAGAAATACTAAATCTAAATTACGACATGCTAAAATATCTCTCATAACAATGAGTTGAACAATTGCAGTTAGACTTTAAATTGGAGCAGTCACCGAGTATACCATTGGACAAGTTATAATTAACGATGTCCGAACCGGATTCGGGTTGTCGATTTAATGTTATTAAATTATAAGTTCACCTCTGGATTTAAATAATTCCGTTTAACAGGTACAACTTGTTAAAACTTTAAATAGTCAAGTGCTGTCAAGCTGGGAGTGTCGAGTAGCTTATTTGTTAACGTGGGAATCTTCCAAGGAAAATAAGCACTCCATGCTTTTTCAACCATCGTCCCAAGAATTTAAGGACTATATATTATAAATAATGCACAAAAATCAATTGGATTTGTTATATAGATGCCTGTTTATAAGGTAGTTGCATTAAAGTAATCTGTGGTAGGTTTGTGTTTAAAAAAAAATATATAATTGTAAAATATGTTTTGTGCTATTCTAAATGTTATTTTAAAGTGCCAATATGGCTCAGTTAAATGATTAGTGTATTTACTTGACGTAGAAACAATATATATATATATATATATATTTTTTAAATAAGTGAATAACAGTTGTACGTCAATGTCAAGTTGACATGACAGTGACAGTTTTCCTCAAGATAAAAATTTACATATTGATTGAAAGTGACTTACCCCTCTTCCAGAGCACTCGTGGTTGTTGTGATCCGTAGGACACTTGGTGTGATCGATGAAGGGGAAGATGGAAGTGCAGGTTTGGTTGACGCAGATCAGATTATCTCCACAAGGTGTGCCATCCCGTACCAGCCCTAGTGGACCCACTTCCTCGTGTTCTAGTAGACCTGTAGTTGCCCTGAAAGGTAAATACCGTAGTGGTTATACGTTAAAATTGATTTTTATTTACATCTGATTAAGTTCATGGTGTATAAATATTGCAAGCCGAAAGTTATATTCAATACATAACTGATAACATGTAGCAGACATATTATTTATACGAATTCATCCCCTTATTCATAAGAACTAAATCTAACGAATTGACGACTTAACTTAAGTACTCTTATCTCTTTCTGTCAAATTGTGTGAACGCAGTGATAAGAATAAGAAGAAAATTATTTTATACTCCTTCAAATATTGTTTCTGTTACGTTTATTTGAAGTAATACGATATTGACTATTGAATTTTTAATAATTAAAATTGTATTGAAATTCCTACACTTACTTGCAGTCATATTCATTTCCTTTGATTGTGATAACTGTCCTTGTGTAGTATTCGTCCATCCCGGGCACTATGGGATATCTGTTTCCCAATTGACATTGAAGTGAACCGCATCGAACGTTTCTGAAACATTTTGAGTAGCTCATATAATACGATTTCTTTGCGTTTTGTTAAACTACCAACAATTTTCGTACAATACAAAACGTGTTGTTGCCAGACTGTGCACGTTTTAACACTAACAAACAATTACAAATTTGGAAATATAAATGGAAATCGATAATATTTCAATTAAACGTTCTATAAACAAATAATGTCCTTTTCCTAAGTTTTGGCGAACCAGCATTTATGAGTAAAAAGTAAAATTAAAAAGTGATTTTAGCGAAGATTTAACATAACGTTCGATATATTAATCAATTATTTACCAAAATAAATGTAAATTATCATATAATGCAATTCATATTTAGAAATAAAAGAAACGTACTAATACAGCACAAATATTCTTAATATATTCTTGAGATTAACAATTTTGTTTGACTTACTCCATGTCACATTTGATATAATTTCCACCACTGTCTTTCCCGCAGTGTCCTGTCACTGCGCCTTTCGAATTGAATTGCTCGAAACATTGCTTGTCAGCCCCGATGGTACCTGGTCCCCAGATCTTCTCACACTGCAGGGAGAGAGTGGGACACTGTCCCGCGAAACAATACCCCTTGCCAGCTTCACATGCCTCGCCGTTCTTTTTGTATGAATCAATTGGGCAGGCACCTGATAAGCCAGTGCAGGTCTCTTCTAGATCACATTCGTTGGTGGAGTCCCGACATACAATGCCTCGGGGTTTTAGCTGCGGATAACGTTTTTTGTGTTATTTATTTTTAAAAGTAAAAAATCATTAATTCTTGTAGGTAACACAATGTACACTTATGAACATCAAAAAAGAAATATACATTAAATGCTTCTAATTTTACATTTACTGCCAGTTCTCAAATCAAAGGGCGTAGAACGGAAGAGAAGAACTGGCAATAAACTCTCCGCCACTCTTTTTAATCGCTTATCTTTATAAGTAATAAATAATAATAATCCTCTATCAGCAGGAGGCATGGTGAAATAGGAGCACGCACTTACATTCGCGTGGGATATATCACCGACGTTTAATGTGTTCTCATGCCACTCAAAAGCATCAAAATGGACGACGTATAACACGCACAGAAAGACCAATCCCTAATACTAATAATTGAAATAAATGCAGAAATGAGTCTTCAGAAGGGCATCGTCAGTCACGGACATCAAAGCTTATAAACACGATTGTGCTTATTATAAATACGTTTTAAACCTATGTATAATGTTCACTTTGTTATCTTTGATTTACCTTTTTTAGAACATATTAATTTAAACGATTACCTAATTAACTAATTATCTTTATTTTAAACACAACCAGTGGCGCTACACCCTTGGTGTTGGCTTTCTGGGTCCAGTTTTCTCACGATATTTTTCTTTACCGTACGAGCGAGTGATAAATGCTAATATAATAAATAAAACATTGGCTTCACAATCAAGTCCAGAGTTTGAAATCTACGACCTCAGGGATGAGAGTCGCACGCTGAAGCCACGAAACCAACACTGAATATTTATCTATAGAATAGTTAACGATTCGAGAATAGTTTTGCTTTACCTGACACTTATCGCAGCACTCGCCAGAAGCACACTGGGATTCCTTTGTAAGGCGGCAGGTGAAGGGGTCACAGCATGGGTTCGTGTTCTGGCACTCAGCGATGGTTCCACAGTCGCAATCTTCCCCTTCATCCAGACGACCGTTGCCGCATTGACGATGTACAACCAACTAGCGGTAGAATGTATAAATATAGTATATGTATGTAAGTAGTTAAATTATTACATACAGACTCCATACCAAAACGTTTTTCAAGTGAACATCTTCGAAGCGCTGTTTATTAACTTCGTAAAGGAGATTTAATTCAAGTTTTAGAAGTTTGTAATATTATATCAAAGTAGTACCAATATTTTGATAGCAACGCACATTCTTGCAAATATTTTAATTTAGACTCATTGGAATGTCGGCGGATCGGTCCCTCCCCCGTATACGACAAGATATTCACAATTGTTTCATGTGCCTCGTACGAACTCTATACGGGTTTTAGCTAACCATGACACGAATTATGAAGATATTGATATTTTCCTTGCCAAAGAGGTTCCGAGGTTATATTTTAAGAAGCGGAAGGACTTTGATTTTATTTAGTAGTAGTAACAATTTAGTTTTTTCTTTTAAATATTAAGTGGTCGGTTGTTTACGGTTAAATTTCAGTTTTTTTAATCTATTAATGTACTTATGCTGTTGCATATATGTTGTTTATCAATGTAATCTGAGTTTTATTTTATAATATACATATATGTTATCTGTTAGATTACTTATAAATAAATAAAGTCAAGTAGAATGATATCAAAGCTGATTTAGAAATGTACTTAGCTTTTCTTAATTACACCTTTTCGTGAGATTACAGCGTATACCTATGCTTTTCATTCGCAACTCTAATGAGCTAATTTGGTTGCGGATTTTGACTCCCATCTTTCTACTAATGAGGCTTAAGATTAATTCCATTAAAATTTAACTACCTCCAAGCTTTGTTCTAAAAATACTCTCGTCATTTGCAAATCACCCTTCGGCTGACATTTAAATGAGATATTTATCTTTGGTCTTTTCGTTAATGAACTGTTTGAAAAACACTGTAGTCGTTAACAACAGAGATAGATGGGGAATAAGATTTTGCTATTTGAGTGTTAGCATCGATTATTTTTTGGACTGATTTTTTTATATTTATAAATGAAATTATATTAAGGCGTAATTAACGCATTTTTCCAGGTTGAAAGACATGACGGACCTCCACTTGCAAGGGTCCTGACTTATCACTATTACTAATTCTTTACGCTATGTTACACTAAACATATTACTGAACTCTCATTTACACGGCATTTTTTCAACTTTATTTTTTTCTCTGCCACACCCAAACTGAATTTACGCCTTTAAAAATGCCATAAACAATCCAAATTGAATATGTACTGCTGTCGCACTGAGCATTATTTAAGTTATAAAGTTTGAATTAAAAATATTATAAATATTCACACTATTAATGATATAATGGAACTGTTAGTCTGCTGCTTCATTCTCATTTTGTCAAATTGCCTATCTACATGAGTTACTACCCACTTGCATTTTAATAAATGTAATTTATATTTTTTAATACAATCTCTATTGTGTTCCTGTTATTTGTGTTTTGTTAACTGCCTGTCTTCGTTATTAAAAAAGCAACTTCTTTGAGATAAAAGATCTATAACCTATAATTTAATATAAGATTAATTTCTATCGTAATATCAAAAGAAGTGAGTAACTCACTCGTATTCCAAGACCATAAAATAGTCACGGCAATTTCTGAAGTTATTTTCAACGACAAATCGAATTGTAGCTCGAAATATGAACAAAATTTTTAGCAAAACTAGTTCAGTGAATAAAAGATATTTGCATCAACACTACTGAGCAAAAAATATCGCTGACAGTTGCGAGTTCAAGTAGGGAATACAATAGAAATAAAACTCAGCCCCAATCATCCATCGATAAATATGTAAACGTAAAATCGAAGCGGAGTGGTGGCTCGCATTATCATTCCGTAATATGTAAATTTATTCCAATAAACTCCGGACCGACGCTCCTGTTATTATATATTCGCAAACGAAGAGATAATTCTGAACGCGGCCAGCTGGCATTACCATAACTTTTATTAAGAGCGAGCCTTGTAAGAGCCTGCCGACAAACAATGCGCTCGTACTGATTAATTTTCTACGTAGAAAATTTGAATTAAGCCTGCGTTAAGGGCGTGCGAAAGAGTGGAAAGTTCGCGATATTCCAACTTCGAGGTGTCCCAAATTCCAGCTAATAATTGTAAATGAGTCTAAGTGTAAATTGCTCGGCCGAAGTTTTCAGGTGCTGCGAAACACGCAACTAATTTAATTACTCTCCAGCTTCGTTGGATGACTTCGAAATTTGAGTTGTGACTGATTTTTGATGCCCTAAATGCTCCGTGCATGTATTTACCAAATTTAAATTGATTAAATTTACGAATTACTGTGTTTGAAATAGCTTCGTTGAATACTTTTTTTTATCCCTGGACTGGATTTTTATGGGCGTATGTATTCCAAAACGGATTGATGATATAATATATATAATAAGTATTTATTTAGTAACTAAATAGAAACTTAAACCTCATTGAGAGCGTGATAATCAAAGTTACGGTAAGTTGGAAGATTGTTGTAAAATACATATATTAATATTTTCATTAATGTTAGTTATTAAGTTGTAAGAGCGAGAAACCCTATTCACTAGACCATTAAAGGTAGGAGATAAGTGAGACGTAGTTATAGAAGACTTTTATTTCTAGAAACTCTAGGATTACAAAGAAAGAAAATTAACAAGTTGGCAGATAACAATTTGTTATTAAAAATTATTTTTAAATAGGAGAGAGGTTTCCATTGTAGCTTATCATTAAAAAAAATCAAACACATCACTACACGCAATACTCGTCGAGCGAGTTTGTTTATCTTACGTCTAAAATTCGTAATATTAGTGCGTTTAACCAAATCAAAAGGGCATTAAAAATACGTATCAGAATGAGCCTAGTAGACTAAAATTAGGATGGCGACGTCTATCTCGTTCGTATAAGTTTCTCATGTAAAAACAAAACGTGTGTGTACTTATGTACACGCGTTAGAAGTAATACTTCTTTGGCGTAATAATTTTCTTCGAGCACTTTAGAGGGACGTTTCCCTCTTCGAATTGCATTATTGTCCAATTTAATGGTCACTGCCAATCAAAACGATAAATGTACTAATACAAAAATAATGTCATGATATTTTACAATAAACACTATGTTGTTTATCACATTGGAACGGGTTTTCTCATATAGAAATTATTAATATAGTTTTAAATAAACACGACTCTGAAAAACACTACGCCATAATAGACAAAGCAACTTGTCGATAAAACAGAGCAAGCAGAACAGTCCGGGCCGCTGGTTGGCGAACTAGCGGCACGGACTGGTTTACCGACGTTTGAACAGATACTCAGGGTGTCAGTTTTTTGTGACGGTGTGCGCGCGCATCGTAAAAAATTAACGTCATCATTTTTTCCTAACGCGCCAAAAGACTTATAACTTCATAAAATTCCTTTTTTTTGTAATGAGAAACAAAGTTCTTTAAAATTTATGTTGCTTAAAATTTTGATATATTAACGCCGTTAGCTTTTCCAGTTTTCCAGCCTATTACTCTAAGCCAATTAAATATACATACCTCATTTGGTTTGTTGAGTAAACACAGCCCTTGGCCTATCCTAAGTTCGTTCATGTAGTCGTTCCTGGAGCAGTCTGAGAATTTGTATGGCTGGACATTCTCCAGACCAACTATAGATTGAGACATGATGCAACCATGCCAGTCCCGGCAGAAACATTGTTCTCGGCCATCGTCGTGGCCCATACCTAATAAAAAGTACGGAATAATTAATCGTATTTATAATAATCAGATATAAATGTGTACGAATTTCACTATCTATTGCTGTCTCCTTATATATACAGGTATGCGAGTGTTTGCACGTTATTTTTTCTAGTAATTTAAATTTAATAAAACTATTTTAGTTCCTGTTTCGGTATTCTAAAAAAAAGCTTTAGTTGTTGTACTTTGCAGCTTGAATTGACACCGCATTTTCACCTGGTATGGTTTCAAATGCGTAGTATTTTTATGAGCAGTGTTGGCCTAGTTCAGCATGTGACTCTCATACCTAAGGTCGTAGGTTCAAAGACCGGATGTGCACCAATCATCTTTCTATGAGCAAATTTACTATTATATATTTGCGTAAATTAAAGAAACAGCAGGTGGTACAAGGCACAGTGCAGAAAGGAATGGCTGTATTTGGAGGAAGCCTTTGCCAAAAAGGGTTCACACAACTAAAAGAAAATTGAAATAGAAACGTGTTTCAATATAAAAGCATCTGAATTAAAAGGCTTTTATTAATATATAAATATTTGTGTATTGTTCGTCAAAAAACATCGTGAGCAGACCGTCGTTCCTTTAAATGTTTGTGCCTATATGAAACAAATGATCACGAACAGATACAGAAATCTGAGGCTCAGACCTAAAAAAGTTGTAGCGCCACTCTTTTTATTTAGCGGTTTTAGTATCTTTCAATAAAGTGAAAGATAACATGTATGTTTTTAATTGCGTAGAGTTAGGGTTGACATGAAGCAGCAGAAATAATTTTTAATTTTATTCGTTACATACATCTTTTCTCTTTATATATTTAAATAAACATAGCATTAGTACCGACTCTTATTAATAAGCTGAGGTCCATTGTTATTATAATTATTATTATCATATCACGAATTAAATACCATTAGTAACTATATATAAACCAATTGCGATATATAATTTTCAATAATCATGATATTGAATAAAGGTCGATCTATTTCAAGCCTTTGATTTGATTCGGATAACTATTAAGGCCAATAAACATTAAATTTGGTATTCATTGCCGTATCTGTGATAAGTCGACATCATGAATAAGCTAATTTGCTTTGTCAATATAAAGTTTTAATCAAATTATGTTATCTGTATTTTGAAATTATATATACGCTTTCAATTTTATTTCAGATTAAAATATTCAAAATGATATTTTCGTAATTAAATGATGACTGAAAAGATACACCAATACTACTAAAACTGATATAACTGTTTTTTTGCCTGCTAGACTTACTGAAGCTTTTTTATGTTGTGCAGGCTCTGCGTTTGTGAATATTATGCGAATGTGTCAAAATCATTTTACTACTTTAGGTAACACGATGTACACTTATTAACGTCAATAAAGAAATACATATTAAATACTTCTAATTTTACATTTACTGCCAATTCTCAAATCAAGGGCGTAGAACGGACGAGAAGAACTGATAAAAATTTCTCCACCAATATTTAATCGCCAAGTTTTTTTGTTTACCACAATGTTTGTAAGGAGCTGCAACCATTACACCATGTTCCACATTACATCTTTATGTAATTAACTAAATATAAAAATAATGTATCTTTTAGAATTTTAATATACATTTTTATAGATTTCAAGTAACATGACGGCTCATTGGTCTGGTGGTTAGTACCCCTGACTGCGAATCCATGGGTTTCGGGTTCGATCCCCGGCTGAGACAAACATCGATGTGATGAGCATTTGGTGTTGTGCTTAGGTCTTGGGTGTTTAAATATGTATTTATATGTGTATCTATCTGTAATATGTATGTATATCTGTTGCCTAGTACCCATAACACAAGCTTCACCAGCTTAGCATGGGACTAGGTCAATTGGTGTGAATCGTCCAATCATATATATATATAACAAAAAAACCTTACCTATATTATGACCAATCATGTGGGCCATGGTAGCTGCCAAGATATGGGGTTCATAAGTGTTGTAGTCCACGGATATGCCGACAGATTTCGGTGTGCACATTGTATCAGGCACTGATATGCCCGATTCGCCTCCAGGAAACATTTGACCGCTGTAAATAGAACAATATATATGTCATATTCAGTTATATTATTGTTTTTAGGGAAGTGAAAGTTACACTTATATACAGTTTAATTAACTGTATACTGACCTTTAACAGGCATTAATGTCACACAAACAAAATATAAAATCAGTGGCGCTACGACCTCTTTAGGTCTTGTCCTCAGATTTTTGAATAAGTTTCATGATCATTTTTAAATCTAAGAGGCAAGTAGGTGATCAGCCTCCAGTGCCTGACACACGACGTCGACTTTTTGGTTCTAAGACATGTCGGTTTCCTCACGATGTTTTCCTTCACCGTTCAAGCAAATGTTAAATCACACAAACAAGAATTTCCTTATATTATAAATATCTGTTGATTTATTTTGTGGAAAAATAAACATTATTATTATTTATTAACTTATAAAATAATTAAAATTAGAAAAGTTCAAATAACTCTCAAATTTGAAAAGAGAACACAAATACCGCCAGCCTTCAAAACCCGTGTATATAAAAACTATTTGTGTAGAAAACCAAACCTTTTTAACCCCAATCCATCCAAGTATACGACACATTAAGGCTGTCTCATACTAACAAAAAATAGGCTGTTCAACTGACAGGCAGTGACGTTTGTTAGCTATTCATAGGGTTGAGTGTGTTCTGACGTATCTCCATGTTTCTCGTGATATTGCTTCATATAAGACCCCACGACGTGCTTCACTGATTTAATACAAAATGTAGGCCTTTGTAGATTGAATGGTAGGCGTCTCATATTTTATTATAGAACCTTCTACAATTCATATATCTTATTTGTTTTGAAACATCGGGTGAAAAGGATTCTTTTATTATGGTAATTTTATATTTACAAGCAGTGTTGGCCTAGTGGCTTCAGCGTGCGACTCTCATACCTGAGGTCGTAAGTTTGATCCCCGGCGGTGCACCGATGGTCTTTCTTTCTATGTGCGCATTTAACATTTGCTCGAACGTTGAAGGAAAACATCGTGAGGAAACCGACATGTCTTAGACCCAAAAAGTCGACGGCGTGTGTCAGGCTGATCACCCACTTGCCTATTAGATTTAAAAATGATCATGAAACAGATTCAGAAATCTGAGGTCAAGACCTAAAGAGGTTGTAGCGCCACTGATTTATTTTATATGTTTTTGTGTCTTTTCCGCGAAGGAAATACGCATAGCACACAGGAATTACACACTCTGTTTTTTAAAAAACAAAAAAATTCATTATTTTTTTATTATTGTTATTTTGAGTGTTTCTCTGTATGTGTTTTGTTAGTAATAAATATTATGTCTATGTCTAAATAATTATTGTTTTGTGAAATTATTTTGTAACTATTTCAGAGGCATTGAGTAACGTCTATTAATGAATTTGTATTTGATTTATTCGCAAACCTGAATCATCAGCTACGCTATATGCGTTAACCAACAAGCTATTTTTATGGGTTCTGTGTGTTATTTTTCTAAGCTTCTAGAAATTAATTTTGTGTATAAAAGCACAAACATACACCCATGTTAACGTGGTGGTCATTATACCCATTTATTGTTTAAATTATGTTTTATTAAAATTTTTCCTGTAGGTCAATATATATATATTTATGTATAATAGCGTTTTTATAAATTGTTATATTGCAGAGAGGAATGGCGTGATTTGGAGGAGGCCTTTGCCAAAAAAGATTGAAATAGAAACGCGTTTAAATATAAATATTATCTGAATTAAAGGCTATTATTGTATTGTCTTTTATTGACATAACTTTTATAGAAAACTCTTTTTTACCATTAAATTAAAAAAAAACATTTTTAACATTGCCATTCACACAGCCATTTCTGCCAAAACCCTCCACCTTTTAGTCGATACAACTCCGGGGAAATAAATACAGATAAAACAACTTTTTCTACAGCTTTGCGTTTCTGTAACTCACTTTTCGAACTCACACAGCGGTTTTCGCATCGGCGGTCGCTCTCAAATCAGTCGTGAAGCAGTCATTTTATGATTTGGCATTCTGAAAAGGAGGGAGCTTGTAGTTTATTGTTTATCAGAATGCCAAATCATAAAATGACTGCTTCACGACTGATTTGAGAGCGACCGCCGATGCGAAAACCGCTGTGTGAGTTCGAAAAGTGAGTTACAGAATCGCAGGGCTGCTGAGATACTTTTTGACATTCAACACCTTTTGTCTACAGTCACGCTGTAAAGCACGCGAAACGTCGGAAAAATTTAAAATAATTGTAAATTTATATATATATTTATACATAACTTCAAACCGGTAAAAAAGTGTTTTCTTTAAAGGGTATTATTATTATATTTCATAAGTATTCACCGGAAAATATTCCAGAAAACATTGCCAAACTGCAAAGCATTGAAAAGAGTGGGCAGTGCACAGTTCTCAACAATGGCGCACTGTACTCGACAAAAGCTCACTTATAGCGAATATTCGCCGAGTTAGCTATTTAGTGCTCCTAAGAAATACAAACACTAAAGATTTTGCAGCTTGCTTCTACCTCGTTGCGTTTTCAGAACTTTCAATTTATATTCTTGTACTCTGAATGTTTTAATTGACTTCAAAAAAGTATGTGGTATTGTTGAAATTGGATAAGTTGATATGACGATTTATTAACGTGACGTGGTTAATTTAAAATAAAAGAAATAATGTAAGTATATATATTTGTATTTATAAAAAAATTCAATACCTCCTAGAGAAGAAAAATATTTTAATAATTGTAATTACATTAAAATTTGATTAATTAAAAATATTTAATATTGAAAATAAAAAAAACAAAATTAAATATTTTAATAAGTGTTTGTTGACAAATTTTTCGAAAGTGGTGTTGATTTTATCTTATAGACACTATTCTTTAAGGCATCATCTACATCGGTAAATGTTTGAAATATTCACACTTCTCTGGAACGCAAATATACAACATAAGTAAATAATGTTGACAAATGTTTCAAAATTAAATTTATAAAATTACTTTAGTAAATGGCAAGGATTAATTTCACGTTCATTGCTCGGTTTTATTAAATGACACACGTCAAATCCAAAACATAAGAAATATATACGATCTCTTGCTTCTACTTATAGTGCCATCTCCTTTCATAGGTTGGCGATCATCATGGCTACTTTAATTTTAAATGCAGCGCTTCTGAACAAGGAGTTGGTGCTTTAACAAAACTATTGTCTAAGATTCTTCAACCAAAACTTGCGTCCGGGGCCAGGTATAGCTTAGGAGCAAGAAATTATAGAAAACTATTTGGTATTTATCCAAGTCAAGTCAAAGTCAAAATATTTGTTCATATAGTTAACACAATGTACTGAACGTCAAAAAAAAAGAGATATATAAATATGAAATACTTATAATTTTACATTTACTGCCAGTTCTCAAATCAAGGGTGGAAGAGAACAACTGGCAATAAACTCTACGCCACTCTTTTTAATCGGCAAGTTTTTTGTTTTACACAACGTTTGTAAGGACCTGCAACCATACACCATGATCTACATGATCTTAGGTAGTAAATAATAATAAAATAAATCCGTAACTAGCCCTCAGCGATTGTACTCAAGGTTGACAACCCTACGCCAATAAATATTAAACGTCAAATAATTAATCGAAGTAGTTGACTGTTGACATCGAGGTTAGAATATTAGTTTAGTGGTTAACCACTAGTATCATTGAATATTTGAATAAACTATAATATTTTTATTTACACAAATACAGTATTTACAATTTTCTTAACCTATAAAGTAATAATAAAAATAATTAAAAATAAACAAAATGAATTTTTTTTTTATTTTTTTTTTTTTTAAAAAAAAAAAAATAATTTTAAATTAAAAAAATTTAGTTTTTTTTTTTTTTTTTTTTTTTTTTGTTTTGGTTTTTTGGGGGAGAAGGGAAAAAATGGGGAAAAAGGGGAGGAGGAAGAAAGAAAAAAGAAAAAATTTTTTTATTAAATTTTAAAAAGTTAGGGGGGGGGGAGGGGGGGGGGTTTTACCCAATTTAATCCGGCCCCACTTTTTTAAAAAAAAAAGACAAAACACATAGCGCGGAAAAAAATTGCCATATCACAATAATTTTAGAACGTTGGACTTCGATCGATGTGCCACTATACACAAAAGGTTCTTTGCGCCGTTATATAAATAGAATTATTAATTTATTACTAAGGCTAACATTATACACACACAAACAAGAGACAGAAGTTAGAAATTGCATTTCTCAAACAGAGACCTGATAAATCATGGAGAATACAGAAACGAATATTGGCTGAACGAATTTTGTCGCAATCTAGCAACGTTGACAGACTAAATTATGACCGGACTTCCTCTGTGTATTGACGGTACTATTGTAGTTTTCACAGATTTGTTTGAATCAGGTCATTAGATAACTGTGTTGTCAAAATTAATACAGTACTTTCAGAAGAATTTAAATAAATTGGTTCAAAGCGATTTAGACACAATTCTGGTCGTATGCTTGCTATATTTATATATTTAGCGGTGAATATATTATCTGTAATATATCTTTATACAAAGAACTATTAAATTTGTAGAAAATTTACTTAAGAGACTAAAAAGAAATATTAAAATACACTTAGTGGATATGGGAATGAAACCGGATAGTTTAAAAAAACAACACTTATTTTTTTCTTTAATGGATTTTGCCGAAATTGTTTGCCCCAAGATCCCGGTAGGGGTTAAATCCCATGAAGGTACGCTATCTGTTATAACTATAATACGGGATTGTAAAAAAGTAATTTAGGTATGAGCACGAGTTTCCAGGAAATCCGAATATTAAAAATCTTACCATATTAAAAAGTAAAATTAGAACAGTTTTCTGGGTTAAGCGTTTAGTTGGTAATTATATCGTTTGAATTCATTTAAGCAACTTAATTCATAATTGTATAAAATTATATTTTCCATTCACTCAACTTTGACCCAGTTAACACAATGCAAGATGATATTTCTTAAAATTTCGCGAAAATATTTCAACATTAAAGTTCTCATAGAATAAACAACTTAAACAGCTTAAATAAAGTAGGTTTTATAATACGTTACAACTTCCCAAGTTTGAGTTTAATGTTGGCGAAAATAAACTCAAAATGTGAATATGTACATAATATTTCACAAAGTGTTTCATTCAAGTTTTCGTATGAGCATTTAAGTCACTATTTTAATACCGTCAGAGCTTTTAAGCTATATTCTTGAATGTTTGTAAATAGCTAACTAATTCTGATTATATTGTGTATATATCTTAAATATAGCAGCTTATATCTTGAAATTATTTAATACTTTAGAGCTTAAGAGAATTGGCCCAAGACTTTTCAAACGGGTAATGCGTCAAACCCGGGCTGTTCTTGTGTAATTAATTTATAATTTATTTAACAGGGGGCAAACTAACTTTAGAATATTTTCTTGTCTATTAGAAAGTACAAAACAATTCGAAATTCAGAATACATGTTATCACAACACAGATGTCTATGGACAAACAGTGATTGTATGCGAATCAATGTAGTGTACGAGGCGTGGGTTTGCGGTGGGCGACGATGCGTTGCGTCTGTGTTTCTGTGTATATACCACGTAAATGTGAGTTTAGCCTCTCTATTGAAATATTATCGTACTACATATGGTTCTTTTAATATTTCCTATTATTCATCATATGTACCTATAGATTGTATCATCGAGCGGCTTCAGCGAGCGTCTCTCATCCCTGAGGCCGTAGGTTCTATCCCCGGCTGTGCACTAATGGACTTACTACGTGCGCATTTAACATTCGCTCAAAGATGAAGGAAAACATAGTGAGGAAACTAGCTTGAATTACACCCAAAAAGTTGACGGCCTGTCAGGCAAACGAGTCTGATCACCTACTTGCCTTTTGATTGACAAATGATCATGAAACAGATACAGAACTCTGAAACCCAGATCTAAAAAGGTTGTAGCGCCACTGATTTATTTTTTATATACTATAAAATGTACATTTTAGTAATATAGTAATCAATTAGTAGTTTGTAAAAAGTTTTAAAGTGCTTCGTATGGTGTAATCTGTTTTGGCTATATTTTATAACTTAAAAATGTTAAATATTATCTCCAAAACAAAAGCTGTGGATCAATAAACTGTTAAATATAAAAAAGGGTGCGTGTACTTATGTACGCGCGTAAGAAGTTATACTTCTTTGGCATTATTAAAAATAGTTTTTGATTGCATGCAAATAATTAATTACAATTAAAAAATCAAAGACTGGAAAAGGAGTCATTATAGTCAATAAAGTTCAGTTGACATTTAAATAAATCAATATTTATTATTATTCTCTTACATTAAGTGTAACATAAATTCTATTATTATTCGAATGTTGTTTTTAAATTATGTCCATTGCCGTAGCATCATCCGTGGGCAACTTCATTCTGTTAATTTTGTGTCACGGTGCGCGCGCATCGTAAAATTTCACTCTCATCAATTTTTCATAACGCGCCTAAAAAAGTATAACTTCAAAAATACTAGCTGAAAAGATCACTGAATTTTGAAAGATTATTTTCACTTTTTGTTTAAATATTCTTAGAAGAAGCTGATGTTGCTCGACGGATATAGTATCCAAATTGTATTGGCATATATTAGGTAGACAAAACAATAATTTTGTAAGTTCTAAAAGCCTGATTTAGTTGAGCAAACAAATCCCGTAGACGTTCGTTTCAGTTTGATATTATTACATTTAAGCTTCTCCAAATTCTACAAATATCAGTGACTTTATTTAAATTAAATTTACTTACGACAGTAGCTGCGTGGTGTCCTTTTCAATTTTGTACAGTTTCCGGGCGGAGTAGTCGCTGAACTTTTGAATGGCTCGCGTGATGTCGTACTTCCGGTCTAGGTCTGCTTGGTCTGCGCTTTGCCACGACTCGATATACACCACTGACACTCGAGTGTTCAATGTACGGAAGTACTGGGAACAAAAACAGTTTCATACAGTTGTCAGTGAGCCACAGAGTCGTTAATTAATCATTATCTAAAATACAGTCAACTCTCGATAATTTGACACCTGTTTTTGAATCTCTCGATAATTAAAAAAGATTTGAAGAAAATCTATCTTGATTACTCCCCTTCCCTAGGTTTTTTAAAAGTCTTTGGATCATAGACTGAAAAAACCAATACCAAAATAAAAAAATTTGTTTATTGTTAATACACGATAATAATATATAAAATAATAAATCACGGATTTTGATCAATCTCTTATTTACTTGAGTCCCTCCTCCCCCTCGTAGTTATTTTACATATAGCTACGAGGCTAGCTATATACATACACTTGTTATTTTGAACTCATGGTAATTCGAAACTTATATCTGGTCCCTTGAGATTCAAATTATCGAGAGTCGAATTTATAACTAAGTACTAACTTACGGTTCCTTTAACCTTTGATTTGAGGACCCTCCACGTAATTTAATAATAAATATATGCTGTTCTGTTCTGTATTAAAGTTTTTACATGATTTTCTGTTACATGTTCTTCATAAATGCGTAACCATCATTCACATAATAGAAAGAGTGAATTATGAAAGTCAGTGAAACTTTGAAAGAGATGAACGCAGCGGAGTGCTCTATGCGTGGGCCATTCAACGTAAAAGTTTCAACGATAACGTTACCACTTCACATTTTAAGTAGATAATGTACCGACTTTCTTCACTCGGTACTGTACGGTCAGCATATAAACATTTTAACATCTCATCGAAAATATACTCATATTATGATTTGCCCGAACGCTAGTGTCAATTGGAGACAGTATTGTATATATAACAATCAGTTGAAGACAACATAGTGTTGTATATTAAAGTATTGAGAAGTGTTAGAATATCGAAAGTTGTTAAAAAAAATTCTATTTAAGAAAATAAATATATACCTACTAACTTTTTATTCACCAGACAATATGGTGCCTGAAGGTCCCATTCAAAATTATGTTAGTAGAAATGAAATAATATATAATATAATCACGAGATCTTTGTGTGTGTTGTTCTGTGCTTTGAAGAAAGATATTAGAGGAATATTATAGCAGCCAAATTTTTTTTTATGTAGTAGGAGGAAAATGGGCAGGAGGCTCACCTGATGTTAAGTATACCGCCGCCAATAGACACTTACATTGCCAGAAGGCTCGCAACTGCGTTGCCGGTCTTTCAAGAATTGGTACGCTCTTTTCTTGAAGCACCCTAAGCCGAATTGGTTCGGAAATACTTCAGTAGGCAGCTGGTTCCATATAGTGGTGGTCCGCGGCAAAAACTGCCTTAGAAAACGGCCAGTAGTGAAACGACGGACGTCGAGGTGATACGGATGGTATTTTGTATTTTGCCTTGACGTCCGATAATGAAACTCAGCTGCCGGTATTAGACCGAACAACTCCTCTGAACACTCTACATGGTAAATGCGTATTAAAATAAAATACAGAAACAAAAAAACATCATTCTGCCGACCGTCCATACTGTATGTGAAGTTTAATACATCCGTATTCATACATTGCGGTATACGGTATAAGAGGGATTTTTCGCTTTTCATAGCACTCTGAATGAAACCGAATTCGCCCTCCAATGGCGATTCAAACACGGCCAATTACACCATTACGTGTAATTCAGATCGTGTTAATCGTTCGTGACCCTTATTTTGATTTGCCTTCAGAAAACTGATGAAAAGGCTTTTCTATCTTTTATATAAGACTTGATTAATCTACGCTTGTTAAACTTGGTCATTAGATTTGTGAATTTTATTTTAAGCATCACGCTATCACAGACATTACAAAACGTAGATAAAACCTACCAGATCCGCAATATTGGCAACTTGAATAGCGTCATGGACGACCTCAGTGCGCGTACTTCCGTTTCTTTTCTCAAACATGTACTTGTCAATGACAAGGGCCGTCTCAATGTACTTGGTGGTTTCCCGGACGTCTCGACGCTCACGGAGACGCCGACCTGCCTCGATCCATTCTTGCCAGGAGAGAAGGTCTGAGTGCCTGGGAAAAGTAGGAAGTATTTGAATTAATATGTTACATTATGCCTACAAGCTACAGAAGTGTTGTCTGCTTTATCATTAGTTCCTATGTTTGACTATTTGCATATTAGTTGGGTGAACTATGAAGAAACTGAATTGCTAGTTCAAGAATAACTTAACCATTCTAAATTTCCACAATGCACTTACACTAGCACTTTCCACCTCCCATTTCATCCATACCTTCCATAAGATTGTCATTCTGGTGCGTACAAATGCCTCAACCATGTAAACCTGTATCTTTAGTTTAGTAATTAGTCTTAGCTTTCTATTTTTCTTTATAATGTGTACTTTATACTGTGTATTCTTCGTACTGTTTACAGGTCTCCCTACAATATATGTAAAATTGTAAATTTGTTTTTTAATTTGTTTTTGAGATGTGAGTTGTTTAAGATTGTAGTTTTAGTTAGAGTAAGGGTAAATAACGATTTGGTTGCTTTGTTTGTATTGGTTAGTAAAGAAAACAAAATACTCCTATAATGGAGCAAGGCATACCAACATTTTAAGATATGCCTTTTCTTTGTAATCACCATGAAAAAAGTTCTCGGCCGCATAATAGCATTACGTTATGAACTAAAATATAAAATACTTTAAATTTTTGTCCATAAGTGGAATTCTTGCATTGTGACATTTATCGATAAATTATAAAATAATCTCGCGTTTCAAGGAGTAAAAATGCAAGGGGAAGTTCCAAAGATAAAACCTCCCTCAAAATCGGCCTTTTTAAGCAAATTCATCCGATAAAAACCCACTTAAGATTAACAGTTCTTTTATCTCGATTCCCTGTGTGTTAGAAGGCCTCATTAATGAAGCGGTCATCCATTCAGGGACTGAATATATCCGTATTTCCGATATGATTCTGAAAAACTTCACCAATTAAATCTTTTTGTGTCAAGTTCTTGCGATCTCTTGATACGGACAAGTACTGAATTGGGTTGCTTATTTATAGTATTTTTTTTTCTTATTAAGACCCTAACCTCTTGACTTTGAACAAGGCCATTAATTCTGAATACCCCGTGAAATATAGGCGCAACTTATGCATTTGGGTATTTGTACATTACATTATATTGGCTGTTTGAGCCTAGATACGTATCCATTTTATTTTTGAGGCATGTAAGTAAACATGTGTGCATGTGTGTGTGACACTTCGTAACTATTAAGTCTGCTTTACGAACAATTTGCACACAAAGGTAGAAAATTTGGTGCACGGGGGCTTACACGAGCTCAATTGTTGATAGGTTGTCAATCAAGGTTGCTTAAATTTCTTCGTGTGTACTATTGTGGCACATTATGCAATAAAGTATGACTTTGACAATGTACTTTAGGACAAATAACATTCACGATTAACATATTTAAATCTATTTATACGTACCAACCGTTGTCCCACAAACCAAATACCAATTAGCATAGAAACTAAAATAATTTTCGCTTTTCCTGAAATTATATTGAATAGAAAACCCCGTTTTAGCTAATTCTATTTATTTGAATATTTACGTAAAACAATTCGTAAAGCAAACAAAGGCTTTACAAAAATCTAAATATGAACGTGCGATGTAAATTTTTGTACACGAACAGAATTCATTAGTATAACTGCGAGTTTAGTCGCTCGAAAAAATGAGTTCTAAAACTTCTCCCTGCATTATTCAACTTTCTGGACCGCGATGATTTATAATGGCGTCCCTTGAATTCTTTGACACTTTTAGGAGCGCTGTAATTTACTTTGCGAAGTCTGATTTGAGTAAGGAAACTATAAATTATTAGCTTTTCATTTAAATAACAAAATATTCTTTCAATGAATTTAAAAATTACTTATTCGGTAGTGGGCTGACAAATTTTAAAGAAAGCACAGTTAAGTGCCTATCTGATACCTAATCTGCTGTTTTGCTGGTATTGTTTTTAATAATAAACAAATATGACTTGTATTTTTTTATTCTTTTTAATTTTTTGTGACATTTATGTTTACCATATATAACGTATAACGTATATATATTATTATGTATGTAATAAATTTCAATAAATAAATAATATGATAAATAAATTGATGGAATTGGTTCAAACTCTGAGATATTAATCTTATAAATAACATTTAATAATACCATCAATGACCTAATGTTAGCGAAATCGTTAATAATGACCATTTACAATTTGTAAAAAAAATATACACTTCAAGTATAGAGATCCAATTATTTCAGGAAACACAACTAAAATCGTAACAAGTCCTCGCGGGGCAGCGTGTCTCTGACGTCTGTCACAGGGTGAACATTGCGGCGACCTATTTCACTGCGTCATATGAAATTGTACTCGTGATGTTGGGTACTAATCTAAAGACGAACGTAGATAGAACATCTATGTTGTAATTATATCTATAACGATAACAATTATGTTGATAAATTGCAGAGCAAAGAAAACTACGGTACATGGCGTAGACTTTCGTAGAACTTGCTACGGTTTAATGTTTTTCGTAGCCTGCTGATTTGTGGGATTTCAAGGTCTTAGACGCGCCACTTTTTACTTTAGGTACTTCAATCACAAATTAATATAACATTAGTTCACTCTTTCTACTTTCCTCCTATTATGTACTTTAAAGTAAGTATTCCTTACAATGTTCTAGAGCTCGCTCTTAGATGTGTACCCAACATTTATGATAACAGCTGCTGTGAGATATGCATTTTGTTTCTCCGTCCAATTCGTTATAAGTACGTGATAGTTTTGTGACGTGCTGTAATGACGGAAGTTTATGGGTTTTACGCAATTTTTCCACAGTTTCCGCAAACTGCCATGGCCATTCTGCTAACACGCTGGGTTTGTTTCAGTCGACAAATATTTACACAAATTCACGTCACAATGTTTTATTTTAATTTTATCGCATATTTCGTTTTTATTTTTGTGAATCTGTGTGTATTTAAAGGAGTTAGGAAACACATAATTCCAATGAATTTTACGCGAGCGATGCCGTAGTATAATAGGCTAGTATATAATGTATTCTGAAACTTACAAAGCTCCATGGTTTTCCATTAGAGGGGCCTCCACGTAAGCGAAGTTCTTAGATCGGTGTGTCTTTTGTCTGTACTCGAGTTTGTTGCCACAGCCCCGGTTCATCTTGGTTCGCGCCTCAAAGATAACATGAGGGTGCTTCTGCTGAAACAAAAGTATGTATAGGTTTCATGCAAAGACTTTTATAAAAGAATAGAAAAATAAATTAATACCAGAGATTTCTTAATAGCTTAATTGTAAGATTTTCAACCTGAAGTTGTTGGGTCTACTTAATTTTCCATTCTTTATGCTAATTACTCCTAAGATCAATGACGTACATATACAGATAATATATTTGAATATAAAAATGAACAATAAAAAGTCGTAGATAAGTATTTTATGGGATACTCCACATACCCCATGGGGCATTATGATAATTATTAAACACGTATTACGAGAATTTATAATAAATCAATTTAATTAAACATAATCAAATTACAATTATTAGGGGATTTGGTTTCAAACATTAAATTTTTTATATGATGTTTATTTAAATGTAAATATCTATGTATTACATTTGTATTCCATTAGTAATACATAGATATTCCCTCTGAAATGTAATTTCCAATCACAAACAACAAACGAGGAAAACATAACCTCACATTCATTAAACCAATCTTTCACTTTTAACTATGCAAACAAACTTCTTAATTAAAATATTATGTATATGTTTAAATGAATAACGAGTTTATTTGGTTTATTATTTTTGGTTTTTTAAAACCTTTTAAAATACGAATATTACATATTACAGCCTAAGAAAAGGAAATTACAGTTGCCGATAAAATTTGATATTCAATGGTATGCACGTAACCTCTTCTTTGAGGTAACAAGCGTTGAATAAGAATTTCATACATCTAATTTATTTATAAGAAATTCGGAAATGAAAATTTCTTTCTGAGGCAGAATTTTTATGTCGAAAACATTCATATATTCAGTTGGGATTCTCACGTGGTTTGCAGTTTCATATAAGTGAAAATAATCGATGTGAAATAGAATGCGTAGTACGGAATCTATGAATAAATAAAAAAACAATTAAAATCCAGTAACATTAAACGAAGGACTATAGTGTATCGTCATAATTATTTTCGAATCCGATGAAAATTTTATTAAATTCTGTAGGTTAGGTAATCTGTTAATTCTAATCTTAGACACCAGTTCAAAAATCTAAAATGTATCAAGAAACGTTGGCCATCTGAATTACTTCTTTCATTGGTATTAATTCTTAAATATATTTTTATGTTAAACATAATAATTAAGATATAAGCGACAAGAAATAAGGCATTTATATAAAGATAATATTATAGTCAAGACCTAATACTTCCTAAATCCAGAATATGCAAAATAAATAAAATGGTTAAGAGGAATTCAATAATATAAGAATTTCATATAATTATGTTCAAAAAGTGGCAAATAAAAATTAAGAAAACTTATACAGTCTCGTAACAGTAGGTTGCAGAGAGTTGGCCTAGTGGCTTTAGCGAGCGAGGCGACTAACATCCATGAGTTCGTAGGTTCGATCCCCGGCTAAAATTCGCTCGAACGGGGAAGGTGAAGAACATCGCGATAAACCGGCTTGCCTTAAACCCAAAAAGTCGAAGTTAGGTACAGGAGATAAATCTGAGGCCCAGACCTAAAAAGGTTGTAGCGCCTTTTTTCTTTTTTAAATACAAGGACTGTGAATGCTCCTTAAACATTTTAAATAAAAACTTACTATTTACTACCTGATCGCAACGAATAAAAGCTAACCTGTAAAGAGACATTTCTCACCGAGATGTCGTATTAGCCGCGTGGCTGCGACCGTGTTTTGTTTATTGCGGTGCTGAAGGGTCTGGGCTTAATAGTTCCGAAAATAAGCTTGGAACTTTGTGTCGCAAGTTGTGGTTTCACGGGAGGCAACGCCAGCTTATCCGGTTGGTTAGTGATTTTGTCCGTTAATACTTTACACCTGTGTTAGCAATTATGTTGTTTACTTGTTGCTTTGTGTGCCGACTCAGCTTAATATATGTGTGCTCTACGATTAGGAACAAAATCCTATGATCTTCGCGTTTTAGTGATAATATTACTCATTTTGAACTTCACATTTCAGCCAAATTTCTCTGTATCTTTTTCTTTATTATCATTTTTGTAATACTTTTTGTGTGCAGTACCATTTTCAAAGACTGTATTACCTTAAACATTTGTTTAAGCTCGTAGAAGTATTTTTAATAGGGGTTAGTTCACGTTCTAGCATCCTATACAGCATACGAACGATTAAGAAACTGCTGCGTGCAATCTTGATCCCCAATATTTAATCTAACGTTGTCTGTTACGACAATATAGTCACCATACAATATAACACCTAGCTCGTAAGAGGTAAGTGAATGGGGTCTTTGAAATCTACCAGAAGCGGAGGATAAATAACGAATGCGTTATAATTTACGATCGGTACGGAACCCGTTACTCGTTCCTTACGAGCAGCTTATCCACGATGTATATCTTTCGATACATATTTACATTACATATGTCTAAAGAAGCCAAGAGAAGAAGAATATCTCAGCCAAAACGGTTTTTTTTATGTCTTTATCTTGCAATCAATGATTGATGCAAGATTGAGCAGATGTGTTGAGAGCTGTTAGGCGTTCAGAGCAAAATCTCCATCGAGACTACTCCACTCTGCCAACCGTGTCTATCAATAATTAGGATTTGCCGCCATTCAAGCCTATTTATTAGGTCCGGTGTGGTTAGTTGCGTAGCAAGCTTATTAAGATGAATTTCTAGCCTTTTTCTGTACTTCATACTCCAGGTCTTGATCTCCTCTTTAACAGTCCTGATTTTGAGGTGCTCATGGATCTCCGATGTTTTTATAAACAACGGACGGTTGGATATTTGTTTCAAGATGTAATTTTGAACCCTCTGTATGATACTTATGTTAGAGTCACAGCCGAACTCCATAGTTGAATCCCGTATGTCCAAATTGGTTTCAAGAGCATTTCGTAGATGAGTGTTATATCTACTGAACTATTTCTGCCAACCAGCCAGTAGAGTCCTCTGTATTTCAGGTTGATTTCTGTATGTGTTGTTTCCATACATCTCAGCCAAAACGTAAGTATGATATTATTTTAAAACATTTTCAACCGGGCTGTGACCCTGGTGACATACGTGAATAATGAAGTTACGTAAAAAGGCAAATTTGCAGCATATTAAAATATTGGAAATACCGAGAGAATATTAATTTCATAAAAACTGATTAATAAATGACGGACATGAAGATAAAAGAAAAATAGAGACAAATGTTTTTGACGAGGCAAAGTTACGAAAAATTTGTAATGCCGAAAGCAATTACGTGAAAATAAGTTTTATGAACATCGTGTTCGCTAATTATTATCTAATTTCTTTCTTCAAACAAAAGAATTTTAAGTCCGTGATATGACATGGGTTGATTAAATTTTTGAGTGTGTTTTATTGATTTATTTATATAAGAGTAGGTGATTATTCTTTTTATTATAATTTTATCCTCCTTAGAGGATAAAATTTTAAACTGGCGTTGACTGGCGTTCTTCAACACCGCGCTTTTTAAGATACTTTTTGCCAGCAACATATCTTTGTGAAACTGCTGCCAGTAGAAGTATTTCCAAACCAACACGACTTAGGCGCTTTCAAGTAAAGAGTGTTCTACTCTCTGAAGGGTCGGCATCACACCCGCTAGACCCCGGCGTTGCAGGTTTCTAAGTGTACTTGTTAACACATGTTGTGACTGGTCGAACTTGAATTCCTGTATGATGGTTATGGTGATGTTAGTTATTTCGACTATGTATTTGCGTGTTGTTCCCACGAGAATGTAAGTGCGTGCTCCTATTTCACCATGCCTCCTGCTAATAGAGGACAAATCTTTGTTTTTAATTTATTTTATTATTATTTATTACTTAAGATGTCACGTGGAACATGGTTGCAGCTCCTTACAAATATTGTGTAAAACAAAACTTGGCGATTAAAAAGAATGGCGGAGAGTTTATTGCCAGTTCTTCTCTTCTGTTCATTTTCATTGTTCATTCAAGTGTTTTTGTTACCTATATGACTAAATGATTTTTGAATTGAATTGAATTGAATATTCTAAATGATCCGACTTCTTGTTTACCTCCTGTACCATAAAAATACGAGAAAATAATATTTTGTCAACGGCAATTAACTACAAAACCTAGTGAACTCACTAAACATAGCAAGCTGTTTGGTTACCTGAGCCCTGAAGTGAAATTTGATAACGATCTTTTTGAATCACAAATTTGTCTAAGAGTTAATACAATAATAATTACTTTTTATTTCAGATAATATCTATACAGTTTTAGCTAGAGTTAGTAAAAATTCGGACTTACTTGCTATGTTAGTATTGGTTTGGATTACCAACGTTTGAAGATATGCGTCTTCTTTGAAATGAAAACATTTAGGATACCAATGGTGCTATGCCTAACATGATGCATCAAGGATTCCATCCTTTTCCGAATGATAGCATTAAATTCGTCAGTTCTAGGCAACCATACCTGACGCACAGAATAACCTTGCCAAGCCCAATAGCAACCTATACATGTTGTTAGACTGAATACGGAGCGTATTCAACGCCTTCTGGGCAAAACGGGCACATACGCTGCACCAGAAAAATGACTGACGCCTTGAACACAATTACATTAACATCTGGTGAGATACGTGCAAATCTCCGGGCATATTAACCTTTAAGCCAACCAAAATACTAATATAATAATGTGGTTAAAATATTCTATAATTCAAAATTCAAATTAATAGCGATCTGCCATTACGGTGGACACTTTGGAAAATAAAAGATATTTTATTATTTATGGTGCTTATAAGGATACGTGAATCTCCCCTTAATTTTATAAAATAAAGCCTCAAAGATAGTACATTATTCAAAGCGAGCTTCGGCAATAAATAAGTCACAGGTGCCGGCTAATACGGCTTTTTCAATTACCTTCACTCCGCAAAGGAACTAAATTGACTCTGATAATAGCTTTTAGTTTTGCCGATCAATAGATTTATGATGTTTTGATTAGATAAGTTTTGTTTCTAAATGTTTTTAA